CCCTATTTCATTATTTCAACAATTCGGGAGTCTAAAGTAATATGACTAAAACAATTTACCTGTATTATCAGGAAATATTTTACTTAGCTCACTGGATATGGACTGTAATCCATTTTTAATGACTGTGTCAAAGTATGAAGCCAGATGTTTCCAAGCAATTTAAAGGATCACTACCTTGAATAATACTGCATTTCGTACTTTGTTATTTAGTGTATGAATTTCTTTCTTTTATTGTATTCACCAGGGGCGGACTGACAACTCATGGGGCCCCCGGGCAATAGGGGATCATGGGGCCCCTGTGTCCTCGCCCACACTCAAAAAAGCCCATGAAAAAGCCAATGAAAGGTACCAGGGGCATCTCATGGGGCCCCCTACTGGCCCCAGGCCCTCGGGCAGTGCCCGAGTGCTCGAATGGTCAGTCTGTCCCTGGTATTCAGTTACATTATATTGTGCACAGAATACGTATATTGTCTTGTCATCCTATTTCCTTTTCCTTTTCAGGATCTGTATCTTTATTGATGGCACACTGCACTACGATGCACATTAGCACATTGCTCTACTGTGCAGTGCATTTATGTCTGCAAGATGCATTGGGTTGCCATTCAGAGCGATCATACCTTCGCAAGTAATTATGTGGAAATGTGAGCATTCCTACAATAGAATAATGTAAACAGGGTCTTAATACTCATTTTCTGGTTAAGAAAATGTAAATCTTTTTCTGGTTTCTAGTTTACGTGTTTGCACGTGCAAAGCAGCCCATACTTACTGTGCCTGTGTTTTCTGCAAAAAAAGGTGCATGCACCTTTTTAAAAATGTGGCTGGAGGGAAAATGCATGGTCTTTTTGCCAATTTGATTTCCCTGCGGTTCTCGCACCCACAAATGCGCATCTGAATGGTAGCCCCGCACGTCTCATAAGAGCAGCGCAATTTGGCTACGGGTGGTTGCGGGTGCGGGAACAGATATGATTCCCTAACCCACAACCACCCTGCACAGTGTGAACCAGGGCTTAATGTCCATAGGCACAGGTGCCGGTTTGTTGAAATTCACATACATACCAAGTAGTCCTCTAAAAATAACAGGGAGCTGGAAAAACCATAACAATATCAAGGGTACTGACTACAATCGGCACCCTTTATTTGCATGGTTTCAATGAAAAAAATAAAATAAAGTGTTCCTGTACTTATGATTGGCCCTGTGCTGATCACAAGCACTCTACTAAGAAAAAAAAAAAACTTATCTAGGTAATACACACCAAACTGAGCATGTGTAGAGTGACTCCAAACATTATGTCTTATCAGGAGATATGAGGGGGGCAATGTAAGAAGGGGAGGATCAGAGAAGTCAGGATCAAACAGCATTTTTACACAATGCTGAGGATTAACCCCTTAGGTACCACAGTGCATCACTGCATATACAGACTGATTTTACTGTTGTGGGTTTAGTAACACTTTAAACATGGAGTTAGGCTTTAAGGTTTATGACAATACAAAACGAACTCATATTCTGAATATTATAATAACGTGCTAAACTAACTGAAAAAAACGTGATTCAAAACATTTTTTTCACAGGTGGAATCACAGTTCGCACACATCTGGAATTGTCAGATGCTGAAGAGACTCCTAACAAATGTAGTTCTACAAGAAAGTGAAGATCAGAGGCATGGGCAGCGGGAGAGGTAAGTATTATTACTGCTCATTTACAAGCTACTTTTTTTTGTGTGACAGATCTGCCTTAACTGCATACAGTTATCAGAACACAAGATTTTGTGTGACAGTAGTTCTTTAACTGTTGTTAAGATGAAACTTGCAGCATACCATACAAGCATACATGATGGAGTCAGATCATATCAATATTGGACGCTTGTACGTTTTTTGTTCTTGAGTCCAACCTGTTGTTTTCATACCATTCAGATGAGAAAGGATGGACTGGTCCCATGTCATGTTAACTGTTATTACTCTCAAAGTGATGGATGATTTCCATGGTCATAATTCGGACTATTTACCACACCCACCTATTATTGCATGTCAAAATATAATTTTCATTGTACTTCAAGTGTAACTCCACTTTTTGTTGAGAAAAAAACATTCACCTCTAGATGATCAATCTTTATTGCAGGGATTTTAACAAACAAACATTGTTGCAGATTCCTACCTTTTGTTATTCTGAAGAAATAGTTGTTTGTTTGCCTGTTGTTTGTCATGTGCAGAGCAAATTTGTATGGGAATGGTTTTATAATTTGTAATCAGCTGCTGCACCTGCATGGCTCTAATGAAGAAACTGGCAAGGTCTGTGTAACGGACCCCAGACACCCACAACTGGGTATCTCCATCAAGCAGCTGCTTCTCAGACACTGGAACACGAGACCAGTGAATCTGGCTATTGTTACCCCAAGATCCAGACAACACCAGATTTGAAGTAAACCAGAGGTAGACTACTTTGTTTGAACACAGATACAAGATATATACACTCAGGGGACAATCCCCCCTCCCTGCATAATGATACAGGGCGGGGCAATCTACATTTAATAACCAGAGACACACAGGTATTCAAACTTCACACCAGCAGACAGTCCCATCAGGAGGGAGGGCTGCTGGAGAGCCCCCCCCCCCCCCTAAGCTAATACACATAAGCACATACATCCCATAATAGTTTGCCAAGCCAGACAAACAATAGAACAATGGGATGCAGCCACATAACATTAAACAATCAACAACCCCCCACCCCACCTATCTCCTAAACATGTCTACACAGTCTGAGACAAAGCCCACACAATATTAGGACAGATCACCCTGTACCCCTAACAGGCACAGAGTGAGTAACACATGAGAGGGATATGGGGAGCTTAGACAGAGGTCTCCCCACTTCTCCAAAGTGAGCTGGGTTCCATGGGCCCCCCACCCAAAGTGACTCCCGTCACAGTCTGCATCCCTTAATATGCGATTTTTGGGAGTATCTCACCAAAAAAAATATTGCAGGGGATGCTCAAAATATAACTTGTATAGTACAGACTTCTGGGAAAATTAGTAAGCCAATCACACAAGCTGGAAATTACATACTGTATCTGGGAGGCGTTCTGTACACCATCTGTGTACAGAATGCCTCCAGGCTGCCATATTGCACTGTATTTTACAGAAAATTACAGCACTGAAATGGAAAGGTAATTATGAATAACATTCAATTACAATATGACTTGAGTTGCAATTGTATGCGCTACGCTATTTTTTTTATTTGTTAATTGTTTTCCCCACAAAGGGAATTGCCCTTTGAATAGTAGTTCATCCCATCCCTATGCAATGTGCCCCAGTTGTAGTCTTATGTTGAGGTTTCTCTATTTAAACTGAGTGTCTTATGTTTGCATTTGCCACACAGCATATATCACCACTTGGATTCGACATATCGTATTACTCTCAGTAAACCTGACACAGACTAACAGGTCTTCTTGGCGTTGATGTCCTCTGTTTCAAGGCTTGATTTAACACTGTGTACATCAGTTTCCTTTTAATATGGTTGAGAATTCAGTTATATTTTTACTATGGGAATTTCATCATCTTTGCTAATTTTTTCAAACATGCTGATTTTTTTTTTAAATCCAGTTGACTTGCATTTGATAAATTGATTTAACAAAAAAGCATTAGGCCATGTACTTGTTAGGTTGTGATATGATTATATTATCAGGTCAGTTGCTAAACATTGGTCAATTTCACATAAAATGCACTGTCTCTGTCTGTAAGGTTTTCATATGTTTATTGCAGAATAATTACAGAAGGTTGCATTGTAGATCAGAGTAGAAGTAATTATAAGAATTTTATTGCAAGTTTAAAAATGGTACATGTAAAAACTCAACTCTAGCCATGACTTTTTGTTCTCAGTTATGGATCAGTTTGAAAAGAATAAAGTTTTTATTACAGTCCATGATCCTATTGGAGAGATTTTGCCTCATTTCTGGTCTCTGGGACAGCAGTAAATGGACGAAGTGGTTGTTTGTGGCTTTGGCTCTCAAGCTTAGGGCCTGGTATACTCCTTGAAAGCCTTCCATACCTTAACACCCTTCAGTGAAAACAAAGTTTATACTCATACAATGAAAGTATGGGAATAGGAAACATTTTTTAAAATGTATTAAAAAGGGAATAATCAGTTGCAAATATGAGTTACTGTAATTTAAGAAGACACCAATGGACGCCCTCTGATATGTAGTCCCTACCGTTCTTCTCATATTCATCCATCAGCAGACCCCCAATGTACAACTCCTTTATATTTATCTAATGCAGCCCATAATATGTTCATCAGCCTAGTTTAGAATCTCCTTACATTCATCCATTAGCAGCCCCTCAAAGTAAATTCTATTTATGTTCAACCAACAAAATCTCAGTAGCCCCACATGTGCATCTATCAGCAGTCCTCTACAAACAGCTTAGCCCTTCCCTAGTTCCAATTTCTACCAAGTTCTTAAAAACACTGCACTACCCACCACCATTTTGATTTTTTTAATTGGATTACAAAACAAAAATTATCACTAGGTAGGGTAGGATGCTTTGGCCAGAGTGCTGGTTTGGAAATGAATGACAGCCAGCGAGTGCTGGTGTGGCTGTGCTGTCATTTTGCCTGTCAGTTTAAGAAAAACAACGGCTCAACACAAGGGAGGCCTCAGTACAGTGACTGAGAGCTATTCGTTTATGGACAAGAAGAGATGGACAGTAATACTAACAGGGATAGTAATAAGACAGCGTATAACATTTCTCTATTGTGTTCAGAAAAACCTACCCAACAGAAACACAGATTACAAGTGAAACCATTGATCCCTTCCCCTCTATGTCCAAAAACTAAACAAAAAATCTCACTGGAGTTGGGTTTGAACCAAGGTTATGAATGTTTCATTTTACAATGTATATTACTGTCCTAAATGACTTTCAAGTTGTAAAAAACAACTGGAAAAAATCTTTTTCAAGAAGCAAGACATATCAAAAATCTGAACACTGCATATAATAGTAAAGTTGGGTTATCACTGCATAAGCTCCACATAAGTTGCAGGAAAGAGCCCCCGCCGCCCATTGCAGGATCCAGTCCACCAACCCTCATCTACCATCTCAATGTCTGTGATGATATCTTGAGGTTCGAATGAGATCTCATCATCACCACCTGTGAATTACAAAGCAAAAAGATGTAGATGCAAATGTCATACACATTGTTATTTTGTTATTGCAGATATCCATGTCCCAAATTGTAACTTTCAGTACTCTTCACTCCTGAAAATAAACTACAGCTTGAATTGGACTTAAAGGCCCACTGAACTTTCAGTTTAAACCAGCAGTTTAAATACATTCTTTGTGCATCAATACAAAGCAGTCACATCCTGACTAGAACAATATGTCTTTTGCCATTATGCTGTAGCGAAGGACTCTTGTTCTCTGTGTAGAAGCAGTGGTTTCTCTGGGGAGTTCTGACACATGCCTGTCTAAGTCAGAGCTAGAGCTCTATAATAATCAGGGTAAGTGCAGCGCTAAAACCACAAAGATGTACAGAGTTCTTCAATAATTCAGTGTAAGTCATATATATAAAAATTCTAGAAGTATAAATCATATGTGCATAAAAAGTCCTTAAAAACAATGGAGCTCAATGTGACTTCACGTGTTTCCTCAAACAGATAGGTGAGAGGCAAGGTGATGGATAAAATGCGCACTCACCGGACGCGCAATGGTAATGCGCAGTATATGGTATAGTAGAGGTCTGCCAATGGGTCCCTCTCAGCATAGGAACAGGATCACCACAGGATAAGCAGATGTCATCATCCGGGGATCCCCTTAAAGGACACGGGTGCAGCCTCTTCAATGTGGTGCAGTGGTCACCAGAGGGAGCACTGGGGATTTAAGTGATTGATGGAGAGCAAAAGATGGAAAAACCCATAGTGTAGTAGATTCAAATGATGTTTAATGAGAAGTAGAAATAAAATAAAAATAGAAAGGTGTTTCCATACATATGAACATCGGAAATCTTGCGACAACCATGAACAATCAAATAACAACCATAGGGTTGCTATGAGCACTAACCAGCTGGTTTGGTGATAGGGGCCGCCGGACCTCCTTAATCCGGCGGCGTAATATCAAGGCTTGCAGGCTCTTCCAAAACGCGTTTCGTACGTGTGTATGTCCTCAGTTGGGGTCGCCAGCTAGAGCTCTGCAATCAGCAGCAAGCATGAGATTTATTGATTTCAGAGAGTCAGACTCAGGAGGGTGATGTGAGAGACCTCTGCAGAGAGACCACTGCTTCCCCACAGAGAACAAGGGTTCTGCTCTAAAACATGCTTGCAGAAGACTGTGTGCTTTTCACACTTTTTGTTTTGATGGGCATGAAATGTATTTAGCATATGTAATGTGAAACTTCAATTGGGCTTTAAAAAATCCTTGAGGAATACTGCTTGAGAGTGCTGGTAAAAGCAATCTGATCTTGGATTTCAATTGCATACAAGAAAGAACAATATAATAGAGAAAGCTTAATATACAGTATACTCTTCATCCCTTTTGCTGGAATCGCAAAACAAAATATTTTATTGTTCTAAGGCCTTGTTCACACGGGCTTACTACCACATACACCAGTGCGAGGGTCATGTTTGCCTACATAGGGATCCACAGGGGATGCAGACAGTGTGCGTTTGGGGCCATGCACCAATACAACTGTCAAATTGGGAGTAGCATCTGTCCCAATTGACATGAATGGGACTGCCTGCACAGGGATGCACAGAAAACCTGTACAACCCTGTAGGGGCAAGCACAGCCCTTGCATGGGAGTACCTAGGCCTGTGTGAACAAGGACTAATAGTAATAAAAGCCGGTGTGAAATTTCCACTCACTGCATGTTGTTTTACCAGAGCAGGAAATGAGTGGAAATTCCCCCAATTGGGATATACTGTAGATATAAATGCATATTTAGTAGAGGGAGTGAAGTGTTAGTACATTTCTCATGTATTTATAGCTGTCTATGCTTTTGTAGGCAGATTTCCCTTCCCTTTCTGTTCCAATGACAGGTGCCATCCAGGGCAGTAAATTAGGATTGTATTATCAGGGAAAGAAGAGAAGGGAAATCTCCCCAGCTGAGGGGCACAGACAGTAAAATAAACCTGTCAGTGGTTCTAAACCTTCCTCCACTTAACCAAATCTGGAGTTGGGCTTTAAATTCTCCTGTACATGTGATTCCACTATATGTAACAGCCTCACTCAAGTACAATAAAATAATCTAAATTTAAATGAAACTGTAACATCTATAAAAGTGGGGACAGAATCTTTAAATAACCGTACTGAAAAAGGTGGCAAACAACCCTAGCAATTATTGTTTTTTTCTAGTGTAATGTACTTTTGTTAATTAATAGTTGGGTTGCTCTGTTTGTGTGTTACACTAAGCTTTGTGTTCCTGGCCAAAAGAGTGAATCACTCACTGACCTTGATTATAATATTGGAATAAATCATAATCCTTTGTTTTTACTAAACCTTCCCTTACCATCTGGCTTAAATGTTGCTCATTTAAAGGGCACCACTAATGGTTTGATGTAACGTTTACTTTTATGTTTACATTTAAACGTTTGTACACTTGTGTCGTATAGAATTTTTTCATTATTTTTATAAAATCCATATTTCATAAATAAACCTTTATGCCTGATTCACACAGGCATGGAATGTGAGCATGAATGGGTCATGTGTTGTAGTGGTCTGAGTCAACAGGTACAGCAGACAGCCCATTGAAGTCAATCTGACAGCTGTGCACACTGTACGATCCAGACCATTCACTGACACCCACACAACTAGGACGATCTATGTTTCCGTGCAGCCACTGCATCCCCATAGCCTTGAAAGAGATGCCTGCATGAAGCACATGGTGCCTTAAGCCACTTAAACACATGGCCCATTCCCAGACAACAGGGTTCAGTGCCCGTGTAAATGAGGCCTTATATTCTCTAAAGGATACCACCATGACACAAGCAGGGGCGGACTGACAACTCATGGGGCCCCCGGGTAATAAGGGATCATGGGGCCCCTGTGTCTTCGCCCACACTCAAACCACACCCAAAAAAGCCTATGAAAGGTATCAGGGGCTTCTCGTACTGACCCCGGTGCCCGAATTCCCAAATGATCAGTCCGCCCCTGGACACAAGGTTTTGCAGGGTATTAGGAATTTTCTAAGGTGAGAGCACGACAGTGATTTCATTTGTTTTGACTGTCTCTATGTAACTGAAACCCTGTATGGAGCCCAGCACAGAAGGGAGAGGAGAGAGGGGAGGAAGGAGGGCTGGGTCATTACTCTGGTCATTCAGTATGCAATCTGGGCTTCAGCTTCTGGGCTTTGTAAACAGAGTATATTTTTGGCAAAACAGTAAAGGTTAGCCTGGTAAACTTGCCTAACTGCTCCAACTGTTTGGTGAAAATAGGCAACATTCCTATGCAATATGTCATATTTGCAAGAATAAAAACTTAAAAAAAAAAATTTTTTTAGCATTGAACATATTAAAAAAAAGGAAGTCTTTACTCCATGTGAAAGAATATATTTATGAAATAATTAGAACTATAAAACTTTTACAAATCACAGCAATGTGCTTTATAGATATGGTTAGCATGCTACCAGATACTTGATTCTGAAGTCAGCATGTTGGTAGCGACAGCGTGGTGTGGTGGGCAGTAAGCACACAGAATTTTGCAAGAAACTATGTATTATAAAAGTAGTTCAACAGTACAACCAGACCTGGCGGGGAGGCTTACTCATCTGGTACCACTTACAACAGTGCAGCAGAGAGACAGCGGTCAGAAGATTCAAGGATGCAGGCCAGTCCAACCCAAAGGGGAAGCGCCCTGAGAAGCTACTCTCCCTACTCCACTGGAACCTTTCGCTAGCACTGTCCCTGACAGATGGGGAACCTATCACTACTCTAGCCACTCTCATAAAGCATGCCAAGTCCCTGGGTCAGAGTCCTAAATAGACTCTTCCTGACCTAAGATGGCCACCAGGGCTACATGGGACCAAGGATTCCAATTGGATTACTGTCCATGACCAAGGAAATCATACAAATGCAGTTTCTCTCAACTTCCTTTACCATCTGCATTGTCACTATGGGTGAACGCCACCTGCAGTGGAGACTACAGGATGCACCTGCCTACAAGTGGAACGAATGAATGAAGACAGTAAAAAAAAAAAAGTCAGGAGAAGAGCCTGGTCACATGACCTGCCAAAGTCATATGTCTGGCTATCCTCCAACCATAGAGCTTTCTGTGCTGCATACAGCAGAATGAACTTCCTAGAATTTCACAGACTGTATACCTCAACTCTGATTTCACAGTGTAAATCCTAACATCTCATAAGGTATCTGCATTTATTTCATGCTGAGCCTGCACACAGACTAGACAGATTCCTATTCGTACAAGGGAATAGGAGAAAAAAACATCAATAATTGTGCATGGTGCCAAAAGCAGAATTGTTTCATTTTGCAACAAAACTTAAGGAGCTACTGGCAATTTGCAACTAAACTTTGGGAGGATTTGGGGGGATCAGGAGGGAATTTTTTTCCCAGCAGGATCATATTGGATCATGCTTTCCTGTGTTTTTTTGCCTTCCTCTGGATCAACTGTGGGTATAGGATTATAACTTTTTTTTATGGTTGAACTGGATGGACTTTTCTCCAGACTAACTGGACTTTTGGCCAGGCTAACTATGTAACTATGTAATTTGTTTCACAATTTATTTTCTCCAGTGTTGATGAATCAGCCATATGTGATCACTGCATCAGACGATTTCAATAAGACTGTCTCACTAATATCATTTTAATGGAAAATAAAATATTGTTTTTTCAGCCTACCTGCTGCATAATCATACAGAGCAATAGCAGAGGGCGTGGAGGTGCCTGTTTGAGAAAAGAAAAAAACAAAAGGTGTTCATTTAGAAGTTAAAGTGATTGTATATGCTCAAATTGTTTTTCTTATTGTTTTTCTTATAAACAAACAAACATGGTATACTTACCTGCTCTGTGCAGTGGTTTTGCACAGAGCAGCCCCAATCCTCCTCTTCTTGGGCCCCCACGCCATCGCTCCTGGTTCCTCCCCTCTGTTGAGTAGCTTTCTATCAGGGCACTCGTGCAGGCTCCCTCCCAAGCCCCCGTTCCCTCCTTACTGGCTGTTATTGACAGCAGAAAGAGCCTTTAGAACCACTTTAAATCTAAAATATGACTGTGGTTTATAAAATTATTGTTGAGTGCTATATTCTTCCTCTGGATCAACTGTGGGTGTAGGATTATAACTTTTTTTTTTTTTTAATGGTTGAACTGGATGGACTTTTGTCTTTTTTCAGCCAGACTAACTATGTAACTATGCTTACATACATCTTTGAAGAAAACTCTAAGAGCAAATGCAGGAGCAAAGGGACACATGGCTGTCGTGTACCTGATGGGAGACTAAAATTACTTGTGTCACTAGCCCTGACCCCGCTGGAGTTGGAACAGAGGGAGTCTAGGACCCAGGGGAACAAGAGTGCAAGTAGTTGTTGTTTGCAGCTCTTGCAGATGATGACCTTGGAAGGCTGATGATCCTCTGATTTTGGCACAGTAGTAGTAGGCAGAGCAGGTTTTGTAGATTGCCAGGCGTGCACCAGAGCAAGGCAGGTAGTGAGGACAAGAGACAGGAGCAGTGTTATGGGATAGCCAGGGTCATCAACAGTCGAGCAGCATGGTACAGAATCAGAAGGGAAAGCCAAGGTCAGGAGCAGAGCCGAAGCCAGGAACCAGTATCAGGAGAGCAATCAGAGTCAGGTGAGGTACAAGCCGGGTCAGCAACAAAGGAATCACACAGGAACAAGCAGGACACGGAGAAGCTGAAGACCAGTCAGCACTGAACATGAGCAGAGACACTCCTTAAATAGGCCGTCTGGTGCCAATCTTCGCCGTGCGTGTGCGTGATCGTGCATTTCTGCGTGCATGCACATAACCGGCAATTCTCCTGCGGGAATTCCTATGTGCATGTCCGAATGCGATTCATATTGCTGGAAATCCCTTACAATGGCACTTGGTTTTCTATATTTATGTAAATGATAGCTTTTTTCAAACAGGTTTATTTATTGATGTACCATAAGCTGTAGATATAATTATTAGCAGGGGTGGCAGAGAATTAAAGTGTAACTCCACCTCTGGGTGATCTGTGTTCATTTCAAGGATTTTCAAAGTAACAGAATCCTACTTCTTTCTGTTCTGAAGAAAAAAACTGCTTGTTTTACCAAGTCAATGCTCTAGTGAGAAAAGTTGCAGTGTCTGCATCCCTTTAGAAGTTGTTAACCAAAATGAAATTCTTATTGCAGGAGATACCAAAAATATTATTAGTATCTTAGCACAGTTATCTAAGAAAATCAATGAGCCAATCACACAAACAGAAAATTACATTTCTGAGGATGTGCTGTACACCAACTGTGCACAAAACATTTCCAGTTTGGCATATTGTATTGAATTTTTTTACCACTTTTACAAAATCACAGCAACTTCAGTTTAAAAAGAAATAACTGCAAATGACAAAATGGCTTGTGTAGCATTTTTGTAAGAATATATTTTTTTTTTACAAAAGTGGAGTTCTCTTTTAAACAATGTAACAGAACCGGACCCCCGCTGCACTAGGGTATTTCCGTTAGACTCCCGCTTCCCTGTCCAAACACAGATCCACAGACACCACCACTGACCATACAAGACGAGACACACACGTCTTGGAAGGAAACCAGAAGATAGACTGCTTTATTTTAACATAGATACAAGATATATACACAGGGTGGGAAAATACACACTCAGTAACAGGAAACACATCAGCAGGCAGTCCCATTAGGGGGAAGGGCTTCCGGGAACACCCCCCACCAAACCAATACACAAACACATCCCATAATATTTTGCTCCCAAGCAAGACACACAATAGAACAATGGGATGCAGCCACATGGCAGTGAACAATGAACAACCCCCACACCCCACCTATACATGTCTACACAATAGCAGGACATTCCACCCTGTACCCCTAACAGGCACAGGGTGACTTATACATAAGAGGGATATGGGGAGCTGAGGCAGGGGTCTCCCCACCTCTCTAAAGGGGGCTGTGTTCCATGGGCCCCCCACCCAAAGTGACTCCCCTCACAAACAATATTTAAGGATTTCTTCAATGTAAAAGGTTGAGAAAGGCTGGCATGTACAGTCTTCACTTGGCTCTTGTTTGTAGGAGTTATTAAAGGATACGTTCACCTTTAGGAGCATGTTACACCCATTTTTAGGGTATAACATGCTTCTGTGTATCCACCTCCCGATGCCAGTGCTCTCAGCTTTGACAGTGGGCGGGGGATCTTTTCTTCGCACCCGCTGTCACAATTTGAAAGCAGCGTGGCTGTACAGAGCTCTGCCCACATGGCCACATCATTCATTTACAGTTTCCTGTGAATGAATAGACTTCAAGTACTGTCAGCCATTGCTGATGGCCTGTAGTTCTAAAGGGACCTGGTAAACACTTTTGTACTTAATGGATCTTCATGCTCTCAAGTAACTGCCTGCGTGTATGGGAGGTATAAGCAGAAAGTGTACTGAGAGTCTACAGGATCCTGGCATTGCACCCATGATCTGATAATTGCAGGAGCAAAGCTTTACAGGATGCAATGCTAATAAATGCACATTTTTTTCACCTGCAAAAAGATGTGTATTTGTTTTTATTTTTTTAAAAAAAGGTGAACTTAAGCAGGCAACAGACCAGTTGAAAAATGTTCTATTGTTCAAAAAAACTAAATTAGCTCATATGATTGTGCCATCAATTGTTTCAATCTTCTAAAAAAACCCAGCATGTTGGATCAGGCGCTTTCGATTGCGGTACAATAATCGCATGTCGCAGCTGGCACACTAATGAAGCCAAAAATGAAGGATTCAACAATTGACATGAATTTAATTTAATCTCGTCTATGGCCAGCTTTAGCCTTTAGGTGCCCACTAGCTTTTACATTAAAATCTATATAACAGATGATTATTATATGTTCTGCAATGTAGCACACTGTGCTATATCTAGGTGAAGGATGACAAAACTGTCAATAGGCAACATTTTATTTCAAGTAATCCAGACAGCACCTTTGTTGTATGGCAAATATGGAATATCTGTTATCAACACTGACCTCTGGCAAAAGGTAGAACTGATTTATAATTTAAGCCTCTCACTTCTGCTCTGACACGAAGATAATGCAAGTAACTACAAAATTAACCAAATGTACCCAAGCGCAATAACTCACATCCACCGATTAATTTGAAAACGATGTACTGCTGAATTATGTGTTCCCACAAGTGAAAATAACTTCAGTACATATGAATAGAGCCACGCAGTATTACAAAACTCAACCAGTGTTCATCAAACAATACAATATGCCCAAAGAATATGCTGATGGACCTCTTGTAAATTGTGCTTAGAAACAAAATATCTATGTGAACCTATACAAATGCCCATGTGTACTTTAACCACTTGAGCTCCTGAGGATTTACCCCCCTTAATGACCAGGCCTCTTTTTGCTACTCGGCGCTACACTAATTCAACTGATAATTGCGCGGTCATGCAATGCTGCACCCAAACGAAATTTACGTCCTTTTTTTCACACAAATAGAACTTTCTTTTGGTGTAATTTGATCACCTGTGCGCTTTTTATTTTTCACGCTATAAACAAAAAAAGACCAAAAATTTTGAAGAAAAACAATATTTTTTACTTTCTGCTATAAAAAATATATAGTAAACTCAAAGTTGGTTATAAATTTTGGCCAAAATGTATTCTGCTCCATGTTTTTGGTAAAAAAAATCCCAATAAGTGTATATTGATTGCTTTGTGTGGAAGTTATAGCGTCTACAATCTATGGTATAAATACTGCAATTTACGCCATTTTTCTGCTATACAGCGCTGTGCTAGTTTAACGGACAATTGCGCGGTCATGCAATACGGTACATAAATGAAATTTACATCCTTTTTTTCCCCACAAATTGAGCTTTCTTTTGGTGGCATTTGATTGCCTGTGTGGTTTTTATTTTTTGTGCTATAAAAAAAAAAAGGCTGACAATTTTGAGGAAAAAAAAAACAATATTTTGGACTTTTTGCTATAAAACAAGTCCAGTAAAAAAAAAAATGCAAAAATCAAATTTAGTCATAAATTTCTGCCAAAATGCATTCTGCAACATGTCTTTGCTAAAAAAAAAAAAAAAACCAATACGTGTAAATTAATTGGTTTACGTGAAAGTTATAGAGTTTACAAATGGCGGGAAAGATACTGGGATTTTTAATTTTTATTTATACTAATAATCAGCGACATATAGCGGCAATCAGCGACATATGGTGGTGACCAGCGACTTATGGCGGGACTGCGGCGGACATTTTGACACTGGGGGGGAACTGACTTGGGGTCACTGACATCCCCAGTGACACCAATACAGTGATCAGTGAAAAAAAAACCACTGAAACTGTACTAATGTCACTGGGGAGGAAGGGGTTAACATTTTTAGAATTTGCTGTGTAAGGGGAGTGTTTTACTAGGGGGTGGGGGTGTGTACTGGACGGGGGGAGGGAGGGGGTAGCTGATCGAGGGAGAGAAACTCTTCTCTCCCTCTGTAGATTGTCCGCGAACTGTCACAGAGCAGGCTGTGTGTAAACAATGCAGCCCTGCTCTGTGTCAGTGATTACCGCTCATCGCGGGAAAACGGCCGGTAAAAACCATCCGTGACCCGGCGGTGGAGACCCGCTGCTGACACCCACGGGACAGGCAGGGAGGCGCACGCCCCCTACCTGTTTTGAAGGCAGCCATTTTAAAACGTGCTTTTGCCTACGAGCACCGCCCTGCCACCGTTTAAATGCGGTGGCTGGGCGGCATGTGGTTAAATGTGTATGCACAACAACAATGACAGTTTCAATATTAATTGTTTTCAAATGTGAAAGAAAAAGAGAAAAAAAAATACAAAAATTGTTATGACGTGTCCCAATGGTTTATCCATTTGTAACACTTTATATACCCAATATTCCAATATCTGTAGGTTGATAATTTTCATTTCCATCAAACAATGGGGCATCCTTACGTTCCTAACACATTATCTAGCCCATATCAGTATAGATAGCCAGTATGATATTTTTCCCCATTGAGATCTGATGTGTTTTCAAAGTGTTCCTTTATTTTTTTGAACAGTGTGTATTGAATGCAAGTAACTACTAACACATGAAATTATCCATGTTACAGGGCAAGAGGTGAGATTTAGATTATTATAGATGCCCATCAGTGATCAGTTCTCTTTAAAAGGCACTTTGCTTGTTGCCTAGCACTTAGCTGCGTCTGCCCTCTGTTCATTGGCATGTTCTGATGACTTCAATGCCTATGCTGATAAGGGAATTTATATAGACAGATATTCATTTCAAATCAGTAATTTATGTGCTATGGCCTGATAATGGACATGTAGACATGTTAGTAACATTGTAGTAACTCAATCAGGTTAGCCACAAATGTAAACAGTACTGGTCTGGAGTTATCACAACCTTCAATAATGTAATGGGTACCTCGCTAGACATTGACCGCATAACTTGCATTTTTGGTCATTTTGATTCCTCCTTTCTGGATGAACAGGAATCTCTACCATTCCAGATTGTTGTTTTCTGCATGCAGAATGTAAGCCATAAAATAGGTCTCCACACAACTCTTACCCCCCCATCCTCCCGGTTATGTGGTTACAAGAACTGAATAGGTGTACAACTTTAGAGGAACACACTCACTTCCTACATAGTACACATAAATTTGAACATACCTGGTCCTGCTGGCAGCATATTCTATTGTCACCTAAAGTATACAAATGAATGCACTAAGACCTCAACTCCTAGGTTCTTTTCCTAATTACATTCATTGAATACAATGAACTTCATGGGCGGTATAACAATGCAATCTTACCTATTGAATTCTGAATGATTTTGACATGTTCTTTTTTAGTATGTACATCATAAACCTTAATAAAAAAAATATCTGCTTGGCAGAAACTTCAGTTAACGCTTAGGTTTTATTTTTGTATTTATTCTTTTTTAATGTTCTCATTCTACTCACCATCTTTTGGTAATTCTTCATAAAGTCCTTCCTGTTTTCTAACTGGTTGATCCAGGATACATTCATAATCATCCCCATCTTCTTCTTCTTCCTCCACCCTTGGTGGAGGATCTGGAATAGCTTCATACTCATCATCTGAGATAGGCTGGGGGACAATAATGTCTTCATATGTCTCTTCCTCAAAACCTGATTCATCTGCATAGGGAACAGGAGCCATCATCATTGGTACTTTGGGAGGGACCATTGGAGGTGCTTCATAGTCAGGATCCTGTAATATAAAATGAAAAAGATGTGAAGAGTATAATAACAGGATGTAGAAGATTCCATATTTAATATTAAAGTTTATGTAGATTTATTTACATCCTCTTCAGCAGGTTGTGAAGTCACTATGGAAACACGTGGAACTGGAACTGGAAGTGGAAGTGGAACTTCTTGACTCTGAGACACTTCAGTTTCTACATTCTCTTGAACCTACAACAAAATGAACAGTTTACATCTAAACTCCAGTCTTACCTTGTATAGTTTTTTCAGGCTCTTCTGTACAGACACTGCTTTCTCTGAGCTTCCCCTAGTGTGTATTAAAGGTGGCAGTAAATCAGATGCACAAACCTAGCTCTTGGATGGAGGATACTCACTGTCATCTGTCTCTTTCCTCCCCAGCCTGACTATCCCTGACCCACCCCTTTCATTTATTGGATTTCAGTTCTGTCACTTATGGAGGCCCAGCATTGCATGTGGGCCTTACCAAGAATGAAAATAATGCAAATGCAGCCTGCCTATGAACACTCACTCCTCCACACTGACATCCCTTCATCAATGCAAATATTTTTATGTCACAATGGGAGGAGTCTGTCATCTGTCCCCTGAAGACATGCCGTCACACAAAATGCATTAATCGGAGCTACACGTGCTGACGTCATGGCACCACTTCTGGTTTTTGGATCAGTGGCCATACCAGTGAGTTTGGTTGCTTTTACTCTGTATTATCTCTATGCTGGATATGTATGTGATACTGATCCAATTCAGTCTAAGTGGCTTGTTAATATTGACTTTTACCTTTTTAGCTGCTTGCCACCCATCCATAGTAGTTGTATTGCAAGCAGGCAGCAGTATCAGGCTGGGTGAGGTACTTGAATGCCACGATCTTTCTTCTGGGTTCGGGGACGTGCCTCCTGCCAACTCGTGCTGTGATTGGACACACCATGAGTTTTGCAGCTGATTTCAGCCAGTAATTTTGGGTGAAGTCAGCTGATCCACTGTGTCCAATCACACACAAAGTTCTGTGTTTACAAAACAAGCAACAGTGATCTGGCTGTTTATTCTCATTGCAATGTAGGTAGAATAAACAACCATATAGAAAAGCAAAAGCAGTACATATAACACACATTACATATTGTTAGGCACACAGTTAACCCTTTGATTGCCCCTAGATGTTAACCCCCTCCCAGCCAGTGCCATTAGTACAGTGACAGTGTTCAGTATTAGCACTGGTCACAGTATTAGTGTCACTATTGATGTCAGTGTCAGCCAGTTAGTGTACCTCCCAGTCAGCATCAGCTAGGGCCAGATTGCCCGCCACACTATCATAGTCCCACTATAAGTCACTGATCACCACCATTACTAGTATAGTATCATACCTGTGTAAATTCCAGTATATATACCATAGTTTATGGATGCTAAAACTTTCACACAAACCAATTAATATACACTTATTGGAATTTTTTACCAAATATATATAGCAGAATTTTGGCCTAAATTTACGAAAAATTCGATTTTTTAAATTTTTTTATTGGATATGTTTTTAACAGAAACTAGAAAATATTGGGGTTTTTTTTCAAACTTTTTGGTATTTTTTATTTATATAATAAAAAACCCCATGGTGATCAAATACCACCAAAAGAAAGCTCTATCTGTGTGAAAAAATTATAAAATGTCATATGCATATAGTGTTGTATGACTGCTCAATTGCCGGTTAAAGCAGCACAGCACTGCATAGCAAAACATGCTCTAGTCATAAAGGGGGTAAAACCTTTCAGAGGTCAAGTGGTTAAACAAATAATGCACTACATGTGATTTCGGTTTCTATGGCTCCATATGGTGAGCTTCTTTCCACATAGTAACTGTGCACTGATAATTGCCCCCTGGTGGTGAGGAGTGCTATGATCTGAAATTACCAGAAGCGGACCTGAGCTGGATTATAACATTTTACCATGAGCTCTGTGCTGCTCTCTTTTGTAGCTTACTGTTCGGTGAATGCATGGTGGTGGAGGCTGGTGGCACACATGGTGATACTTATGTGGTATTTTTACATGTTGGCGGAAGACAAACGGACACAGATTGATGAAGCAGTGGACTTTTGTTTAAGGACACATACTGAAAGATTGAAACACATTGTTTTTTTTTGCTTTTGTTTTATTTATTGTTTGTGTATGTTTTTGCCTTAGTTTTTATTTATTCTTTGTGTATGTTTTTGCTTTTGTTTTATTTATTTGTGTATGTTTTTTTGCTTTTGTTTTATGTATTGTCTTTGTTTGATAATATTAGTAATTAAATTTGTTTCATTTGGCACTGCACATTTCACACCTATTTATTTAGAGGGGTTTTGTATATTGACCTTGTTTGCTAGCTGCCAGCACTTTCTAGTGCTAACATTTTATTATATTGTACTTCTCTTTACTCATGCAAGACAGGAGAAAGATAATACTATGTATGCTCCAGACTGCTTTGTCAGAGCTCACACAGGGCTGTAAACCCCTACACCAACCCCATGTGACAGAACTAGTCCAATCAGGGGAGGTAGAGGATGAGTGAGTCACAGGTTTACCCAAACTTGGAACTGCTGGATATATCATTTTGCTTCTTGTGCCCAAGCTGAGCAGCAGGGGAATGAGAAAAGGTGAGTATATGCTGCTAGGGGAGGGGGTATTTTGTAAGATTTTAATTATTATCTCAACTATTATAATACGGTAAGCAGTATTATTTTTTTTTTTTAATGTCTTACCTCTTTTTTTACTTGTTCTTGTCGCTCCACCTTATCTCTCTTCTGTCGCCTTGCTCTCTCTTCTTCTGCTTTCTTTTGGTTTTCTTCCTCTGCTGTCTTGGCCATGTTTTCAAAACGTGATCTTAGATTCTGAGCACCGCTTGTCACTTAAAAAAAATAATTGCTGTTATTAGGATTTCACTGTAAAAAGAATACTACACAACTCTGTCTTTTTTTTGCAGCCCTCAAGCATAAATGTGATCCGAGTACAACATATACACTCTGATATGGTAATGGTATGGAAATGATAAAAATCAGAAAAATAATGCATAGGCTCTTCAACACTTTACCTGTAAATGTTAGCATCCAGTTATATTCTGTGTATCTAAGAAAGAACCCAGGCCTTTTTTGAAGCAATCCACTGAGCTGGCCAGAACCAACTCATGAGGGAGTCTATTCCACATTTTCACAGCTCTTACTGTGAAGAAACCTTTCCATGTTTGGAGATTAAATTTCTTTTCCTCCAGATGTAAAAAGTGCCCCTTGTCCTCTGTGATGACCTCAGGGTGAATAGCTCTACACCGAGTTCACTATAGAACCACTGATGTATTTATACATGGAGATCATAAAACCCCTTAATCTCCTCTTCTCAAGAGAGATTAAATTCAGTTCCTCTAATCTTTCCTCATAGCTGAGCTCCTCCATGCCCCTTATCAGTTTGGTTGCCCTTCTCTGTGTTTTCTCCAGTTCCCCAATGTTCTTTTTATGAATTGGTGCCCAAAATTGAACTGCATATTCCAGATGAGGTGTTATTAATGATTTATACAGGGAAAAATTATATCTCTCTCTCTGGAGTCTATACCTCTTTTAATACAAGAGAGAATTTTGCTCGCATTAGAAACCGCAGCTTGGCATTGCATGCCATTATTAAGCTTGTGATCTACCAGAACTCCCAGATCCTTCTGCATCATTGATTCCCCTAGTTGTACCCCCCTAGTATGTATGATGCATGCATATTCTTAGCCCCCAAGTGCATAACCTTACATTTATCAACATTAACCACATTTGCCACATAGTTGCCCAATTAAACAGTGCATTGAGGTCGGCTTGTAGGTTGGAGACATCCTGTAAGGACGTTATTCCACTGCACAGCTTGGTGTCATCTGCAAAAACTGAAATGGGATTTTTAATTCCAGACCCTATATCATTTATAAATATATTAAAAGTAAGGGTCCCAACACTGAACCTTGGGATACACCACTAACAACCCTAGACCATTCAGAGTATGAATCATTAACCACTACTCTCTGAGTATGATCTTTTAGCCAGTTTTCTATCCATTTACAGTACATACTTATTTTTCCAAGCCTGTAGACTTTACCTTACACATTAGCTGTGCAAAATTCAAGTATACCATGTCCACAGCCACCCCTCTGTCCAAGGTTTTACTCATCTCCTCATAAAAAAAAAATCAGATTTGTTTGACAACTTCTATCTTTGAATTCATGCTGTCTGTTGCTTAAAAGAACTCATCTATGTGGTCTTTTATTAAACTCTCCAGTATCTTCCAACTATACATGTTAAACTAACAGGTCTATAATTACTTGGTAAAGATTTTGATCCCTTTTCAAATATAGGCACCATATTGGCCTTATGCCAAGCCAATGGTACTATGCCAGTCATTAAAGAATCCCTAAAAATTAGAAACAATGGCTTTGAAATGACAGAGCTCAATTCTTTAAGGACCTGTGGGTGTATTCACCTATATTCAGTCTAAATGTTTCTGGATCATATCAGTTGTGAGCCAATGTGGATCATCAGGGGCTGTATCAATATCATGTCCATTATGGACAAGAGCTCCCCCATGCTGCTTTGTATACACAGAGCCGAAGAAGGTATTTAATACATGTACCTTCTCTTTGTCCTCAGCCACCCACTCTAAATTATTTTGTAAAGGGCCTACATGCTCGGACATAAGCTTTTTACTATTCATATACTTGAAGAATTTTTGGGAGTTTGTCCTGCTATCTTTTGCAATCTATCGTTCGTTTTCAATTTTTTGCGGCCTTTATTTAATTTTTATATATTCTGTTATATTCTTTGTAATGTTTAAACAATGATAGCATTCCTTCATTTTTATATTTAATAAAAGCTCTTTTCTTATTATTTATAGTTTTTTTATCTTTGGTTGTAAGGCACATAGGTTTGATTTTTTTAGCCTTTTAAACTTGTTGCCCATGGGAATATATTTTGCAGTGTGTCTTTTCTAGAGTCTTTTTTAAGAACTCCCATTTCTGTGTTGTGTTCATCGATGCCAATATTCCCACCAAGTCTAAGTCTTGGAGAGCAGTTCTCAGCCCTGGGAAACTTAGCTCTCTTAAAGTTGGGCGTTTTTATTTTTCACATATGTGCTTGTTGTTTACAGCTAACAATAAATGAAATCATGTTATGGTCACTGCTATCCAGATGTTCATTTATTTGGACATTAGTAATAAGCTCAGCATGGTTTGAGATTACCAGGTCCAGCAGAACATCATTCCTAGCTGGGGCCTCTATGAACTGTACCATAAAATTGTCCTGTAGTAGGTTTATACATTTTTGCCCTTTAACTGTTCCTGCAGTGCCATTACTCCAGTCAATTTGCAGGTAGTTAAAATCCTCCATTGTTATTACTGTCCCAGCCCTTGCAGCCCTCTCGATCTGTTCAAAAAGCTGAGTCTCCACCTCCTCATTAACACTGGGTGGCCTATAACAAACTCCAATGATTACCTTTGTAGTACGAACCCCCATGTGCAGTTCCACCCATAATGCTTCAGCCTCATCACACTCTCCATCAACTAGGTCAAGTTTCACACTCACTCTGAGATCACTTTTCACATAGAGATAGACACCACCATCTTTCCTATTTACCCTGACTCTCCGAAAGAGAACAAAGACAGGAATAGTAATGGCCCAGTCATGTGAAGAATGAAGCCAAGATTCAGTAATACCAATTAAATTATAGTTCTCCTCATGCACCAAAGCTTCCAACTCACCTATTTTGCTTGGCAAACTTCTGGCATTGGTGAACAAACACTTTAATTCATTGGCACCTTTTTGCACACGTATTTCGCATATTTTTTATTTTCATACAAATGGTACCAATTCCAATGATAGTTTGTAAAATGGGCACCTTCTTTTCACCTGCCATAGCCCCCCCCCCCCCCAATCTTTCCCCATTCCACCCATCAATTAGGACTGACCCCTGTCTGATCTGTTTGCCCCATTACAATCTAATTCTCCCTCCCCCCTTGATCCTAGTTTTACTACTCCTCCAGCCTCCCCATAAACTTCTCCCCCAGCACAGCAGACCCCTTTCCATTTACGTGCAAACCATCTCTAGCATATAGGTTGCACCCCAATGAAAAGTGCTCTAGAAACCCAAATCCTTCCCTCTTACACCATGTCTTTAGCCATCCATTTAGTTCTCCAATCTCCCCCTGTCTTTCCTGAGTTGCACATGGCACAGGTACTATTTCAGAGAATATCACCTTGGAGGTCCTTCCCTTCAACTTATAGTCTAGTTCTTTAAATTGATTCTTCAGGAGCCTCCACCTTCCATGTACTCCATCATTGGTTCCAACATGGACCAAGACAGCTGGGTCATGCCCAGCCCCTCCCAGTAATTTATTAACCCGGTCCACCACATGCCAAACCCTGGCATCAGGGAGACAGCAAACCATTCGGTTGAGGCGTTCCTGACGACAAATATTCTATCAGTCCTTCTGATTATAGAATCCCCTAATAATAATAGTTTATTTTAGTTTTCTTAAGCCTAGTACACAAGGTCAGAAAATTACAAAAAATACCAGTTTCAAAGCTTTCATATGATAGTCTGATCTTTAGTACACAGATTTCATCTGAAATTATTTGAAGGGACAAGCACAAACATGTTTCTTATACGATACCAGATTATACAATTAAAGGTTTAATCAGCACAGTTTGCGGCCAAAAATACAATACAAATACATTATAATACATGACATCACTTCTGAATTTTTATTCTGTCCTATGCAGGACTGCTGATAGAAACCATGGGGCCCCATACAGCCAACCTGACAGGGCCCTCCCCCTTAAAAAAAACACAGTTTACTATGCTTCAGCTATGAATAAACACAGCGAGTGATCAGTACTGATCACTCATTGTGTTCATTCAGGAAACAAGGGCTGGTAACATATTTACCGGGCCCTTCCCCCACTCTTCATCCTCAAGGATCCTATTATGTGCTTGCAGCTGCAAGTGGAAGGGAGAGGAGGGAAGCTGAAGCACTGTGGAGGTGGGAGCACACGGGGTGGGGCCTGGGCAGTAGGGGAAATGTATAGTGCAAAGGGTGGGTGATGGGTGTGGTGAGTGGCAATTACTGGAAGTGATCCCCTGTAGTGCTCTCTCTGCAGCAGCTGCCAGCAGGAGGGAGAGGAGAAGAAGCCAACTTTCAGTTGCTGCAGAGAGAGAGGCTTACAGGGGATCGAATCCAGTAATTGCCCCCCGCCGTGTTGATCACCCTCCCTGCCCACATCTGATTCACCCAGCTGCCTGGGCCCTCCTGCTGGCCTGGGCTCCGTACAGGTGGACTGGTGGTCCCCCCCCTTACCCACGGCCCTGCTCCTATGAGACTTTTCGTAACTGTTCATTATCAACCTTTTCATTATCAATATGAGACTAGCGTGCAAAGAAAATAAAAAGGACGATCATTCATCCAATATTCTCATTATATGTACGAGGCTTAAGCCTTCTTATAACACATGAATTGCTTCAATGAGTTACTGCTGACTGAGTCATCCAGTTGTGTGTACAAATTCATTGTGAGCTATTGAGGTCTGTAAACAATGCCTATTACTTTGAAGTAAAAAAAAAAAGGAGGGTCTGTAAAAGAAGCCCAAAGCTCTAGCTGTTGCTTCAAAATGAGAATACAAAATATTAATATGCAAAATTTCATTTTTACCTAACTAAAATAATAATAATAATAATACAAAAGTAAAATAAGTAATCCTACCTTAACTAATTCCTTATGAGTATAACATATTCAATGAAAATACAAACAAATTAGTAGAGTTGACAGAGAAGAATTACATATTTAGCAATAATATTTACAACATTACAATTACTATAGAATTATTTTCTTCTGTTATACTACACTGCTTTGATTTCAGGAACATAATACAATAATGCACAGGCACATAAAGGGCATATTTATAATTCAGTAATGATGACATTAACCAAATATTCACTGCAGGTAAATCTTACTGGTGCATTTGTTTTAAGATAAAGGGAAAATGTAACCACCCGTGAATGTTTGGTGTCACATTCACTGCTTTATAAATATTCATGTTAGCCTTATTATGATTGCTAATATTTATACTCATAGCGTTTGGTTTGTTTCCATAAACAGTCAAATTCCTGTAACTTACTGGCCTCCAGGGGCTGTGTTTTCTGGTATACAGAACTTGGTGTTTCAATGTCAGCAAACCCTGAAGCAGACTGTAAGGACAAAACACATAAAAAGGGGTGAGGTACGCATACACAATTGGTCTTTTTCTTAAAAAGTATTTGCAGATTCCCTGTACTATATATGTCAAAGGCAGTGATAAAGGGCACCAGGCCATTTAAAACAGATTAAGAAATAACTGAGATCTGGACATAACTTTACCAGTTGAGGTTCTGATGACTGGTTGAGGTCTACAGCCATCACTGTAAATCCACCACATTGTGGCATATTTGGACATAAGCATTCGTACCTTTTGTATTGTCTAATGTATTGATCCCTTTATGACAAAGTTTCTAATTCATCAGATGATCCTATATTTCTTAGAGTAAACCTGTCATGAAAGAAACAAGCTGCCACTGATGACCTCCTTCTGAAGGTTCTGATAGTTGCCAGGCACATTGTCTTTAATTCTTTAATTGACATGGAAGGAAATGCAGGTCAGGACAGTTGTACTCAGCATTCCTATTCCAGGGTGGTGACTCAAAGTACTAAAGCAGAGTGACATCCTGGAGAAGGCCAGTAATGGCAGCTATTATTCTTCTCACATGACAGGTTTCCTTTTTTAAGGTAGAAACGGGTTTCTTTTGAATGTCTCATTTGTCTATATGTGTGGAATTCTGTATATAGCTCAAAAAACACATCACTTTTCAGTCATGCACTGTGATCATATGGACTCAATGGAGAAAAGAGCAAAAAGCTCACTACATTTCATTCTTCATTGTACCAGAACAATATACAACGTGGCTTTTCTTTTGAGTCACGCCAGCTGAAAAAGAGTGGATTCCAAAATACTCTATTTGCCTAACAGACACCTAGCTGGGAGGTGTGGGGTTGGTATCATTATTATCAACACACATAAATAATGTCACTTGGCCATTCTATCCCTTTTACAATATTTAAATACAAAGTAAGCATTGGTTTATGGGTGTAATTAAGATACTAGGTCAATAGGACAACCTGAGATTAGAATTGTTACAATTTGACAAACAAAGAAAACCTTTCTAACCAGTCATTACTGGATAGTAAACAGTACAATCTGATCTCCTCACCTTGTCCACACGGTCAGTCTGTACTCCAAATCGCCCTCCTCCAAACCCTTTGGCATAATCTAAATGATCAAAATAATTTTCAGTTTTTGAAATTTAACCACTAGCCTACAGGGCACTTATACCCCCTTCCTGCCCAGGTCAATTTCCAGCTTTCAGCGCTCTCACACTTTGAATGAAAATTGCGCGGTCATACAACATTGTACCCATATGACCTTTTTAATTTTTTTTGTGACAGATGGAGCTTTCTTTTGGCGGTATTTAATCACCTCTGGGTTTTTTATTTTTTCTTAAACAAACCAAAAACCACAGAAAATTTTGAAAAAAAAATGTTTTTTTAGTTAGTTTTTGTTATAAAATTTTGTAAATAAGTGATTTTACTCCTTCACTGATGTGCACTAATGAGGCTGCACTGATGTGCACTGATAGGTTGCACTGATGGACACTGATAGGTGGCAGTGATTGGCACTGATGAGGAGGCACTGGTAGGTGGTACTGATGGGCATTGACAGGCATCACTGATGGGCACTGAAAGGCAGCACTGATACATGGCACTGATATATGGCACTGATATATGGCACTGATAGGCGGCACTGACTGGCACTGTTAGGCGGTACTGACAGGCACAGGCACTGTTAGGCGGCACTGATGCACACTGATAGGCAGCACTGACTGGCACTGATAGGCGGCACTGACTGGCACTGATAGGTGGTACTGATTGGCAGTACTGATTGGCAGCACTGATAGTTGGTACTGATTGGCATTGATAGGTGGCACTGACTTCACTGATGGGTGACACTGAAAGGCAGCTCAGATGGGCACTGATATGTGGCATTGATGTGCACTGGTAGGCACTGATATGTGGCACTGATGTGGCACTGATAGGCACTGGCATGAGGCACTGATGAGCACTGAAAAAAGGCACTGACAGGAGGCAATGCTGGGGCTACACTGATCATCAGGGCATACTGATCATCTATGCCCTGATAATCAGTGTACATGTCCCCTCCGCGGAAAGCCGATTACCGGCTGTCCTCTCCTCTCAAGCTGTCAGCGTGACAGCTCAAGAGGAGAGAAAAATGCCGATAACCCGCATTTCCTTGTTTACATGTGATCAGCTGTGATTGGACACAGCTGATCACATGACCGAGCCGACATCTTCAGCTGTTTCCATGATCGGTGATCCGCTGTGTCCGAGGGACACAGCGCACCGCCGATCGCCGTGCTGCGCGCTCCCTGAGCCGCGCATGCGCAGTGAGAATGGGAGGACGTCATATGACGTCCTCCCAGAACGGAGAACCACCTTGCGCCCGTCATATTACTATATGGCGGGCGGGAGGTGGTTAAAATAGTGATTGCTGCCAAGAAACTATCTTCTCATCTCCTAACAGCAGCCAGGAGAACCATTCCCATGCATAGGCTTTCCACTACGCCTACTACATGGTCAGAATTGGTTAGGGTTGTTGCTGAGATTAGAAGAATGGAGTACCTCACTGATATGCATGCTAGTTTTTTTTCCCTTGGGAACCATGGGATCTTTACATTTCCGATGTGTCTGCTCAGATGTCTGATGTTCCTAGCTAATCCACTGTTATGCACTGACATTCTAAGTGTCTGCATTTCATCGATGAACCTGTTTTCTTTCTTCTTTGTTGATTTGTGACTGTTACTACGAACTCTATGCAACCTTATGTTTGTTGTATGCCTTTTAAAACCCAGTAAAAACTAAATAAAAAAAAAAAAATAGTGATTGCATCACAATGTTTAACCACTTGAGCTCCTGAGGATTTACCCCCCTTAATGACCAGGCCTCTTTTTGCTACTTGGCGCTGCACTAATTCAACTGATAATTGCGCGGTCATGCAATGCTGCACCCAAACGAAATTTACTTTATTCCTTTTTTTCACACAAATAGAGCTTTCTTTTGGTGGTATTTGATCATCTGTGCGCTTTTTATTTTTTACGCTATAAACAAAAAAAAAAGGCCAAAAATTTTGAAGAAAAACAATATTTTTTATTTTCAGCTATAAAAAATATATAGTAAACTCAAAGTTGGTTATAAGTTTAGGCCAAAATGTATTCTGCTACATGTTTTTGGTAAAAAAAATCCCAATAAGTGTATATTGATTGCTTTTTGTGGAAGTTATAGCATCTACAAACTATGGTATAAATACTGCAATTTACGCCATTTTTCTGCTATACAGCACTGGGCTAGTTTAACGGACAATTGCACGGTCATGCAATATGGTACATAAATGAAATTTACATCCTTTTTTTCCCCACAAATTGAGCTTTCTTTCGATGGTATTTGATCGCCTGTGCGGTTTTTATTTTTTGCGCTATAAAAAAAAAAGGCTGACAATTTTGAGGAAAAAAAAAAACAATATTTTGGACTTTTTGCTATAAAACATGTCCAGTAAAAAAAAATATGCAAAAATCAAATTTAGTCATAAATTTCTGCCAAAATGCATTCTGCGACATGTCTTTGCTAAAAAAAAACCCAATACGTGTAAATTAATTGGTTTACGTGAAAGTTATAGCGTTTACAAATGGCGGGAAAATACTGGGATTTTTAAGTTTTTTTTATACTGATAATGGTGGCGATCAGCGAATTATGGCGGCGATCAGGGACTTATGGCAGCGACCAGTGACTTATGGCGGCACTGCAGGACTGCAGCAGACATTTTGACATTGGGGGGGTACTGACTTGGGGTCACTGACATCCCCAAAAACACTAATACAGTGGTCAGTGCAAAAAAAAAAAAAAAAAAACTGACACTGTACTAATGGCAATGGGGAGGAAGGGGTTAACTTTATTTAGCAGGGAAGGGTTATAGGAGTGAGGGGAGTGTTTTACTAGGGGGCGGGGGTGTGCGCTGGGCGGGAGAAGGCTGATCGAGAAAGAAAAACTGTTCTTTCTCGATCAGCTCATCCTCGAGCTGTCAGGGAAGTGACAGACAGCACAGCTACTGCAGCTGTGCTCTCTGTCACTGTTTGCCGCCGATCGCGGGACATAGCCGATAAGGAGCGGCTGTGACCCAGCGACTGACATCTGCGGCAGAGAACTGCGGGACAAATAGGGCGGCGGCGCGCCTCGCGCGCGCCCCCCCTATTTGTTTACAAAACACACGTCTTAAAACGTGGTTTTGCCTGTGAGTGCCGCCCTGCCGCCGTATATGTACAGTGGCTGGGCGGCATGCGGTTCAGATTTTAGGTTTTGTTCAGATGGCTGATGGCACCTGTCCTACATGCGTGCTGCCTTTGTTTTGGCATCTGCATCCACCCTAGCTGTTTAGACATGAGCCATGAAGGAGCAGCTGCTTGACCCCAAAAACATACTATTTATGTTAGCATCCACCTCTGTAGACTCTGTACTCCTGAGCTGGGGCTGTACTCAGCAGAGGCTAAGGTAACAATTCAGATTGTCCTGGAATATGCACTTCTTGCTGCCTTCAATGGACCGGGGTAGTCCAACGTCACTGGATACATAGAAAACAAAAAGAGGGCGCACCAGCCTAGTGCATTATCATAAAAAATATTTATTAAAAGGATAAAAAGTATCATACTCACAATGGACAAAGGCACATCACACTAAACAGCGGTGTCCAATCCACACTGCAACTAAGTCCAAAAAATGGAACCCTGGACTTCCAACTGGCTAACGCGTTTCGAGGACTCAGCCTCTTCCTCAGAGCCAACACACTAAGAGTCTGCACCTCTCTACGCATTAGTCATTTGGAAGTCCAGGGTTCCATTCTTTGGACTTATATGCAGTGTGGATTGGACACCGCTGTTTACTGTGATGTACCTTTGTCCTATATGTCTATTATGAGTATGATACTTACTTTTTATCCTTTTAATAAATATATTTTATGATAATGCACTAGGCCAGTGTGCCCTCTTTTTGTTTTCTTTGTATTCAGTAGACTGCCTGCATGAAATTAGGGGCAAATACAAACCCCAAAACAAAGGAAGCCTGCATGCAGGACGGGTGCCAAAGCACAAAGCCTTAGAATATCAAGCAAAATGTATAAATGACACTTCAATGGGCACTTAACCTGTGATATATTATTTATTATATGGTATGCACACACATACAAGTTATTTTCCCATATCTACTTATAAAATAAGAAGACCTTCTTTCTCTTTTGTTAGATCTTTGCAGTTTATTGGAGGTGTAACTATCGTACAATATCAGGTTGGTCATGGACTAGTAGCAAAAACATGGCTACAGTAATATGGGTGTGCCCTATACAAATAGGAAGCAAAGCATATGGCAAATACAGCACAAAGCAGACAGAGAGGAGACAGTCATAGGCTCTTTAGTTGTAAACTGTCAATAGAAATAATATCAAACTAGATTCAGTACATACCGTGCCATGCACATTATGATAGTAGAAAGATGTTTGTGCATTTTTAAATTTACTGTAGCCGGCTCCAGATCTTGGAGTATTAACTGCTTCTCTAATCAAACCAGTTCAGAGCATTTGTTAGAGGTACTGTAGACATCATTAACTGGTTACCCTGCTTTAAGGGGTAGTAAAGTTTTTTTTATTCTGACTATGTTTCCTTGGTAATTATAAATGAAATCATGAAAAAGTGTAAGTTGCTTAGCCTGCATACTGATCCTCTGGCTTCCCAGCTTAATGAACCATGACTCTGCAGTAAGTATTAAGTTAGGAAGTTTACATGACTGCTTGTTCTAGGGCTAGGTCAATGACTCATTTAGAAGTGTAACTTAAGGATCAGTATGACAAGAATAAGTAACCGGAGCACATGTATTTCTCACATGATAGTTTCTGAGAAAGCTTTACATTTTAGCAAATAGAACTTATTAGTTCTGGCTGTCATTGGCGATTTCATATTTAAAGTTACCTATCACAAGGAGAGAAGGGTATGCTAGACTGAGAAAGAACTAACACACAAGTATAAATGTAGGACTTCCCCCATCCTCTGGAACTCACTACCCCAATCCATCAGACTGTCACCTACCCTCCTCACCTTTAGGCGCACCCTGAAAACCCATCTCTGCAGGGAAGCCTACCCCACCCTCACCTAACAGCCAATCTCCTCCACTCCTTCTACCACTCCATCCCCCACAGCCACTTCCTCCTGTACCACTATCCCCTCCCTCCTAGATTGTAAGCTCGAAAGAGCAGGGCCCTTGAACCCCTCATGTATTGTATTGTACTGTATTGTCTCATGTTCTGTCCCCCACTATAATGTACAGCGCTGAGCAAACCTTTTAGTGCTATATAAATACTGTATAATAATAAATAATAATAATATATATGACTTCTTGATAGGGGCCAAGCACCAACATCCTGATCTGTTGGTTCTACATGTTACCTGTCTGAGATTCATGGGGCTGTAGCTGTTCCTTATGGCTCCAGCTGTGAGCAGATTTATCTTGTCTGTCTTTCTGTACTCCAAATTTCCCACCAAATCCTTGAGAATGATCTATTGAGGCCAAGATAAAAGTAGCAATAAAAGTGGAAAAGCTACATATTAATAATAAAAATAACAAAACACTAAATATATTATTTACTGATGTCCAGATATCATTTACAAAGTATTCTAACAGTAAATAGAATGAACCAATGTAGAAACTGGTTTTACTCTTTGAATCCATGCTGTCATTGCTAAATTATCAGCTGTGCAAAAGCAACAGATTTAAATCTCAGACTCTTTAGCAGTGATCTGTGCAGAGCCAGGAGATCTTCAACCTATTCTGTACATGGACACTACAAATAATATTTATTCACAATGGCCCTGAAAAAAATTAGGCCTCATGAACACTGGGCGTTTTTACAGCACCTGTTTTTGGCTGCTGACAGTAAATTCCCCAGAATGTTATCCTATGTGTCCATGTACACATAGGCTCTTAGATTGTAAACTCCAAGGATCAGGCCCTCCTAACCCTCTTGTATTGAACTATATTGTTGCTGTATTGTCTCCCTTTATACTGTAAAGCGCTCAGCAAACTGTTGGCGCTATATAAATCCTGTATAATAATAATATTAATAATAATAGGCTTTAATCAGCGTTTTCTGGCTGGAAAAAAAAAACCCAGAACTAGTGGGTTTCAAGAGTAGTTTTTTAGCTGTATAAATGCTCTAATGCTGGTAAATGCTGTAAAACGCAGCAAACAGGCATTTTTGAGCAGTTTTTTCAGCCCAATTTTTTTTTTTAAGGAATATTATTGAAAACAGACAATTTACTACAATAAACTCCTACTTTTCCCAGTCTGCTTTGCTTCTCTTGCTTCTGACATGTTTTGTGTGCAAATGTTCTTTGCAGCTCCATTGTCTCATTTCTCATTCTACTTTCCTGCTCTTGCTGCTGACCTTTGCTGTGTGCAAATAGGAATATTTCCCAATGACCTTTGAAGGTCATTTCTCAGCTAGCAGGACTGAGTGCAAAAATTAATTTCCCAATGTCCTTTGCAGTCCCAATGACGTGCTCTATTTGCTCTTGTGCTCTCTCTGCTCTCAAAATGGTGATGAAACAACTACACAATGACTATTTCAAGGTGCATTGTGGGAAAGTGGGAGTTACAAATAGCAAAGTGGCGTGTTGTGGAAAAACGCTAACACGAACAAATGTGACTAAATGCGGAAAAATGCAGCTACACGCTAATGCAAAAATGTGGAAAAACTTGCATTTTTAAAGCAACTTTATACAGCTAATGCTACCACCATTTTTGAAATGCCCAGTGGCATTAGGCCTTAACCACTTGCCCTCCATAGGATTTACCCCCCTTCCTGACCAGGCCATTTTTTTGTGTTACGGCGGTGCGTTACTTTAACTGACAATTGTGTGGTCATGCAATGCTGCACCCAAATTAAATTTACATTCTTTTTTTTTTTCTCACAAATAGAGTTTTCTCTTGGTAGTATTTTATTGCTTGTGCGGTTTTTATTTTTTGCACTATAAAAAAAAAAATAGCAACAATTTTGAGAAAAAAACAATATTTTTGAATTGTTGCTATTAAACAAGTCCAGTAAAGAAGATTAAAAAAATCAAATTTTGTAATACATTTAGGCCAAAATGTATTCTGCCACATGTCTTTGCTAAAAGAAAATCCCAATACATGTAAATTAATTGGTATACATGAAATTTCTAGTGTTTACAAATGGCGATTTATATACTGGGAATTTTTTTATTTTTTTATTTTTACTAGTAACGGCGGCGATCAGTGACTTATAGTGGGACTGCAGGACTGCAGCAGGCATTCTGACTCTGGAGGGAACTGACTTGGTGTCACTGACATCCCCAGTGACACCATTACAGTGATCAATGCTAATAAAAAGCACTGACACTGTACTAACGGCACTGGGCAGGAAGGGGTTAACATGTAGGGTGATCAAAGGGTTAACTGTGTGCTGTGTGTGTTTTACTGTGGGGCTGTGTGTTTGTGCTTCACTGCAAGCACACTGCTTTGAATGGCTGTGCTATGCACAGCCATACAAAGCAGTGTGCAGGAGCTGACAGGGGAGAGAAATGTTTTGTTTACAAACAGTTCCCCCCTGTCGGAGATGCTTGGCAATCACCGGGCACCGGTGATCAATCAGCGGCAAGAACCCGGTGATTGACAGCCGTTGCCTCGTGCGCCCCCTAACTGGAAATGCAAAGTCACGTATATATATAAATATATATATATATATATATATACACTGTAGCAGTATTTCTGCTATAGGGTGGACGATAAGCGGTTAAAGTTATTATTACATTGTAATATCCATTGTAATGTTTCATCGTAACAATTAGGACAAAGCATGTACATTATTTGCCATCTACATGACAATTTAATTGTTTCTAAGGGAAAGATTCCTTATAATATACAGAAATAAAATGAAAATTAGAAGCAGAAGAAAGTGTTAAACTCCAGCATTATCTAAGACTTCTTTTTAATTCTTGATAGTACAGAAGGGTGAAAACTTTTTTCAGCCTTTTATTGATGATGGTGTGGGGAAAACAAGAGTGCCACACTAATGGTTAAGGAGTCCAAGAGTATTTATTTCATAACAAAATCCAAAGATAACAATCTAACATGTTCAGGAGCTGTACATTCCCCTTTGTTGGGGATCCTCTCCTCCAATAGTGTGCTGGTTGTGTAAAAGATGCAAGGCAGCTAGTTACCTAAAATTTAAAATCACACTCTTTCCACTTTCACAAGTCCACCATGCCATTCAATCAGCAGTTGAAGTCCTGATGAGAAGAATGTTATAGCCCTCTAAATTTGTCAGGTTCTTATCTTTAAATTTCTTGAAGAAATACTCTTTGACATCTTAACCTTTGGTGTGGAGCTTTTGTATTTGTTCCATTTTCCTGGATTAAAGAGCCACTGTGAATTGAAACCAGCTTTGGATCCAGTCCCTCTAACCTTCATTTTTTCAAAAGTTTTTTGTGCTCTCCTTGCCTCCCATTTTGCGGACAACATTATGTTAACAGAAAGTGAGAAGATATCTCCAGTGGGGACAAAGACAGTAGTAAGAACCTTTAAAAATGGAAACTGAAGCACCACACCCACTGCTAGGAGGTCCAGGTACAACTGTATCCTGATATAAGTCAGGAGGTCAATCCAAAAATTAGCCAAATTATTTGGGGGTTCAAAAAATGTTCCTTCTATCAGGGCTTGAAAACAATGCAAATAACCTAGAAATGAACCGGATCATAAACGTTATTTCTTCCAGAGTGATTACAAGCACAGACATTGTCAACAGCTGGTTTGATGGGTTATCTGGACCTTTTAGCAGTGGTGTGAGGCTTCAATTTTATTTTTTTTGCATTAGACTACAAGCAAAGGAGACCATATACACTCACCAGCCACTTTATTAGGTACACCTGTTCAATTGCATGGTAACACAAATTGCTAATCAGCCAATCACATAGCTGCACCTCAATGCATTTAGGCATCTAGACTTGGTGAAGACAACTTGCTAAAGTTCAAGCTGAGCATCAGAATGGGAAAGAAAGGGGATTTAAGTGACTTTGAGCATGGCATGATTGTTGGTGCAAGATGGGCTGGTCTATATATTTCAAAAACTGCTCATCTACTGGGATTTTTACACACAACCAACTTTAGGGTTTACAGAGAGTGGTCTGCAAAAGAGAAAATATCCAGTGAGCGGCAGTTGTGTTGACGAAAATGCCTTGCTGATGTCAGAAGTCAGAGGAGAATGGGCAGACTGGTTCAGGATGATAGAAATGCAACAGTAACTCAAATAACAACTCGTTACAACCAAGGTATGCAGAATACCGTCTCTGACCACACAACTTATCAAACCTTGAAGCAGATGGGCTACAGCAACAGAAGACCACACCAGATGCTACCCCTGTCAGCTAAGAACAGGAAACAGAGGCTACAATTCGCAAAGGCTCACTAAAATTGGACAATAGAAGACTGGAAAAAGGTTGCCTGGTTTGATGAGTCACAATTTCAGCTTCAACATTCAGATGGTAGGGTCAGAATTTGGCATAAACAACATGAAAGCATGGATCCATCCTGCCTTGTATCAACGGTCCAGGCTGGTGGTGGTGGTGTAATGGTGTGGGGGATATTTATGTGGCACACTTTGGGCCCCTTAGTACCAACTCAGCATCATTTAAATGCCACAGCCTACCTGAGTATTGTTGCTGACCATATCCATCCCTTTATGATTACAGTGTACCCATCTTCTGATGGCTACTTCCAGCAGGATAATTCAGGAAGTAGATCACCACATCTCAATCCAATAGAGCTTCTTTGGGATGTGGTGGAATGGGAGATTCACATCATGGATGTGCAGCCAACAAATCTGCAGCAACTGCGTGATGCTATCATGTCAATATGGACCAAAATCTGAGGAATGTTTCCAACACCTTATTGAAGCAATGCCATGAAGAATTAAGGCAGTTTTAAAGGGAAAATGGGGTTCAACTCGTTACTAGCAAGGTGTACCTAATAACGTGGCCGGTGAGTGTAGATCCTCAAGGGTGTAGAAGCTGCCTACCCAGAAACCATAGTATTTGTATCAGTGTCAATACTTTAAGATTGCAATACCAATAACATAACCTTAATTATGTCAGGACACCAATACAGTGGTTTCAGAAAGACCCCTAATGCTGCAGAGTTACTGAAGAGACTAACAACTCGTTATGTGTCACATATCAGATATTGAATCTGACTTACAAATGAAGTTGTCAATCTTCACTTTCTATATGAATATTCACTTCCTTTAACCAACTATGTGAAAAGCAAATTCCTGAACACTTTGAACACCCAATTACAGTATGTGCAGCTGTTTTTCAAATTATCAGATAAAATACAATGAATATTCAAACAGTTTATTTGGTGAAGATTTTCAGTGTATGTTTTAGTAAATCCTCCACATTATTTCTGTAATCACAATCATAAATCATAGATTCATGCATTTCTTTTTTACTATAATGGGTGGTCTACATACCTGTCTGAGACTGATGTGGCTGTACCTCTTCCTTGTGGCTCCAGCTGTGAGCTGATTTATCTTGTCTGTCTTTTTGTACACCAAATTTACCTCCAAATCCTTTTGAACAATCTGAAGACCATAAGTAAAAAATAAGTGAAATAAACTAATGGAATTCATGATGTGATTATTTTTTCACAGTTGCTCCATTGTCTACAGCAGTGGTGGTTAACTTATGAGCTAAAGAGGGCCTCAAATGTGGCCCCTGACATCACCAAAGAGCCGCACATAATGTTAGATACAGTATATGTAATGGTTGAGTGGGCTATCAGAAACTGAAGACCTAAAAGAGGACGTGAAGGTCAGAGAGTGTGGAAATGCTACATTGCTGGCTGGGGATATGCTACAGAAGGCAACACAAAGCTGAGATGGTTACATGGGGTTAGTAGAGATCAATGCTATTCCCACTGTTCCAACTACAGATTACTGAAGTCTGAGAGCTGCACAACATATACCAAAGGGCCACATGCGGCCCTCGGGCTGCACATTGGGCACCAGGGGTCTACAGTTTAGGCTGCAATCTGCAGAGGTGTGAATTAATGGTACACTCCAGTAAAAAGTAAAAATAAAGCTTTGAGATTTTCTTACTTTTTTACATACAGACATAGATAAAGCACACCAATTCATTCTACTCCCCTTTGTCAGTATTCTGGTAATCAGAGAACCTTTGCTTGCGATGTCAGAGGCCAGGTGTCGTTTTTTGTTGTTTTTCCCATGGAAAAGGTCTCACAGAAAAAATGTCAGTACTAAGACTTTTATTACAGTCATCAGGTTCACACTTGCCTTGGAAGTTTGAGGCTCCATGCTGACTAGCGGGTTTTTTTTTTTTAAGCTCACAAAACACTGGAAAATGCTGGATAAAAATGTTGGTAGTAGTGTATTTTTTCAGCATTTTAGGAGCGTTTAGAAGCGTTAGCATTTTATTAGCGTTTTTGCATTACATTTAGGGGGAAAAAAAAGCCTGAATAAAAGATGTTAGAAGTGTTTTAGTAGTGTTTAGTAGCATTTAAAAGCATTTAGTGCTTTTTTTTCTGCCAGAAAAATGCTCCCAAAAACTCTACAAAAATGTTTTTTTTTCTGCTCCTAAACGCTGAAGCTTGAAAAACGCTATTAGCCTAAAATAGTGTACATGGACACATAAAATAACACTATTTAGCTTTTAGGAGCAGAACAAAAAATGCTGATAACAGCTTCTAAGAGCTTAAAAAAAAAGTATGCGTGGAGCCTATGGCTATGGTAATACAGGAAACAGAAATAGAGGAAGATGCAAGGCTCAGAGTTCAGGAAACGCACTCACAGTTAGCTACATGAAGGCTGACTGCAGGGGATTAGAGAACCTTTGGATTTTGAGCACTTTTTAAAAAAGATTTCTCCAATTTTTGTTTAGTAGAAAATGAAATTAGTGCAAAGCCATCGGTGGTCAGGAATACCAAATAAACCTGTTCACAATGTATTCTTAACCCCTTTCTGCCCAGTGTCATTAGTACAATATCAGTGCTTTTTTATTAGCATTGATCATTGTATTAGTGTCACCGGGGATGTCAGTGGCAGTTAGTTCCCACCCAGTTTCAGAATACCCTGCAGTTCCACTATAAGTCATTGATCGCCTCCATCACTAGTTTTTATAAAAAAAAAAAAAAATTCCAGTATGTATACCGCCATTTGTAGACGCTATAACTTTCACGTAAGTTAAATTTACATGTATTGGGATTTTTTTTAGCAAAGACATGTCTCAGAATACATTTTGTCTAAATTTTTTTTTAAATGTTTTTACTGAACATGTTTTATAGCAAAAAGTCAAAAACATTATATTTTTGATCGAAATTGTCGGTCTTTTTTTGTTTATAGAGCAAAAAATAACAAACACAGAGATGATCAAATATCACTGAAAGAAAGTTCCATTTGTGAGAAACAATTACATAAATTGAATGTATGTACAGCATTACATGCCCGTGCAATTGTCAGTTAAAGTAACGCAGCGCCGTATCACAAAAAATGGCCTGGTCAGGAAGGGGGGTAAATCCTCTGGAAGGCTAGTAGTTAAAGTAGTATTCCAGGTTTACATTGATTTTAAATAGTTTACATGGGCCTGATGCTGCAAAAGTATAGAACAGCAGACATAGCAGCTGCAACAGTTAGTAATGGAAATAGTTTGGGCCAGTCAAAGCAAACCTGGAAGTCTACTTTAAAAAACAGTGTCTATTTTTATTTGTAAAACATTTTCTTTTAGAGTTGCCCCAAATGTCATTAAAAAACTTGTATCATTTTATGGTGATTGCAAGATGACCTACCCCATACCTAAGGATTCTGATTATATAACCTTACATGAGTGTAATGTAGAATTGTACAGTCACAACATACTTGTTACAGTTTTTTTAGACCTAATTAAATCTTTTCTAAATTCTACAGTCATTCATCCTCACCTAATTATAATAACAGGACTGTATCTCCACACAAGTTGACATATCTGTAGAGGTCAACCTGTATTTAGTAGATTGTACCATCTGAGTGTATCATTATGATCAGCATTAGAATTGTCATATTCTCTGGATCCTTTGGTTGTCATCAATGCACCTATGCACATAAATCAATTGCTTCCAAAAGCAGCATCAAACAGCATGTTAATGTGTATGTAAACTCTATAAATGAACTTCTCTAATTTGCTCCCTTTTGGTGTTTTTAAAAATACAATTGAAAGCGATTTTGTTATATCTGTATCTCATCTTTGTGACTTCTACCCAGTTCTGTGAAAAAGAGATGTTCTGTAGTACAAAAGGGGAAGTACCACTTTAAGTTTTTGTCCCCAGTTGAGGATTGGCACCTCTGGAGAGTGGGGGGGGGGGGGCAGGTACACGACTTTGAGACAGGTACCCGCTCCCACTTCCACTGCGATTGCGTAAGGCAATTGGAAGTGGAAGTTGTCCTCCCCTCTCTCACCACGTAGTCTTCTGGGACACATGACAGGTCCCAGAAGACTTCAGAACCACTCACAAAGAGCAGCGCTGCTCGTGCATGCGCAGTGGGCACCTGGCTGTGGAGCCGCAAGCTGTCACAGCCATGTGCCCACACTGAAGATGCCGGTGCCAGGGAGAGAAGACGGCTGGTGAAACCAGTGGTGGTGAGGACACTGCTGGAGTGAGGGACAGGTGTCTGTATTTCAAAAGTCATCATCTACAGTTTTTGTAGCTGCTGACTTTTATTTTTTTATTAAATCAACTGTAACTCCGATATAAGTTGTCACCTTAGGACAGGAAGTGTGTTACTGGCAGGATCACCAAATGAAAAGAAGGGAAGTGAAAGCTTGAAAAATAAAAGAAAACCAATGTAGCAAACACATATGCTAATTGGTAAAATGCAATATATTGCATTTTGTTATTGGGTTTATTTATTACAGGTACTTCTAATGCCCATTCAATTTATATAGCACTTTACATATATATTGTACATTCACATCAGTCCCTGCCCTCAAGGAGCATACAATCTAACATTCATGCATACACATACTAGTATTAATTTATACAGGAGCCAGTTAACCTACCACCATGTCTTTGGAATGTGAGAAGAAACCGGTGTACCCGTAGGAAATCCACCAAGGCATAGGGAGAACATGCAAACTCCAGGCAGGCAGTGCCATGGTTGGGATTCGACCCGATGACCCTAGTGCTTCCAGGTGGCAGTGCTAACCACTTAGTTACAGTTTATACTGCCCATTAATCTGCAGGCTGTATACTGTACATTTTATTAAAGTGGTTGCAAGAAGGTAAAAAACCTTGAGCCTTTACATTCTATGCATGAAGGTAAAAAAATCTTCTGTGAGCCGCATCAACCCCCAGCTCCGTCAATACTTACCTGAGCTCCATCGCGATCCAGCGGTGTGCACTGGAGTCTCTGCTATCCTGGGACTCTTTCTTCTCATTGGCTGAGAAAGAAGCGGGAACCATTGGCTCCTACTGCTGTCAATCACAGCCAGTGAGCCAATGAGAAGAGAAAGGGGGCGGGCCGAGTCACAGCTCCATGTGTGAATGGACACATGAAGCAGTGGGTGACCCCAGAGCAAGTTGCTTGCTGTGGGGGCGCCCGACAGGAGGGAGGGCCCAGGAGAGCCTGCAGGGGACCCAAGAAGAGGAGGATCCAGGCTGCTCTGTGCAAAACCACTGCACACAGCAGGTAAGTATAGACATGTTTGCTATTTTTTTCTTACAAAAAAAGTAAGCCTTTAGAATCACTTTAATATCAGTTGCTCACCTTGCTGAGATGAATGTTGTTCCACAGAAGCCTTGTAGTCATATCCAAGTGCAGACTGAAAAAAACAACACTTTAAATGGACTGAATACTAAGGCAACATACAGTAAGGTACAGTACATTTAGCATTTTTACATAGTAATTCATTTTTTTACAGTCTTAAAAATTGGATGTAGGGGATAGGATTGAGGTCAACCCTATTTTTTTTAGCTGACTTTCACTGTGTATGCCATCATGAGATCAGATCTATGCTGTGACTCTTGTCAATTTTCCAGGACTGGAAGGAGGGACACTTTTTTAGAAATAAAAATATGTGTCTTTGCCACAACCTTTGCAGCCTTCCATTATATTGGAAGGAAAAAAAAGACCATCAATACTTTGTGTACAAAAGAACGTCATGCATTTCCAATTTTTGCAAGTACCTACAGAGCTCAGTGTCAACAAAAAAGGGTTAGAAAAACACAAATAATTGCAAGAATCTCCTTTCTTTAGTAACGCCTTTTTTCATTGGGTCTGAAGTATGTTAAGCTACAAATTAGCCAACTCATAACTAATACAGGGCTGCCTCTCCTGCTCTCTGTAACAGTTATGATCAGAAAAGCATGGCAGGGCCCTTAACTGTGTTAATTTATGAACAACGTTGTATTCTTAAAGTGTTACTAAGCCCACAATGGTAAAATCAGTCTGCATATGTAGTAAAGTATGCTTGTTATACTCACTGTGGAACTTAAGGGGTTAATCCTCTGCATTGAATAAAAAGGCTGTTTGATCCTGTCTTTTCTGATCCTCCCCTTCTTCTACTGTCCCCAATCCATCTGCTGATAGTACAGATCTCTAGGAGTCACTCTGCACATGCTCAATTTGGTGTGTATTGCTAGAGAGGTTTTTATTTTTTTTTGGGGAGGGTGCATGTGATCTGCACAAGGCCAATCAGTACTGTCCAAACAAAGGGCCAGGGGTCATGCAGCCTCATAGGACAGTCAGAGCAGAATGAAAACTCCTCCTAAAAGCTTTAACCAGTGCTCTGCTGGACACGGATAGAAGTCACAAGACTGCTAAATACTGCTGATGAGAACAGTTATTTAGTGGTTTATATTAACTAAAAGCTTGTTCTATGTTTTGCACACATAGCAATTTTTTTTCTATCCTCGTCTATATGATATAATTCTTCCATTCTATGTATATACTGAACCCTATCCATCCAATATTTTATTTTTGGGGATTCTGGTGTTCTGGTGCCAATATTTAGGGATAAGGCTTTTGGCTGCATTTAAGAGATGGAACAATATCGTATATTTTTATATTGCTTCACCGAAAGCTCTGATTTATAAAATAAGCAAGCCAACGGGTCTATAATTATACTAATCTTCTGGATCTCTTGTATATATTGTGTTATCTCCCTCCAAAACTCCTGTATTTTGGGACAATCCCACCAGATATGTGCCATTGTGCCCTTACTCCCGCATCCCCTCCAACACTGGGATGAAACCTCTGGCTTTAGTTTATGTATCACATTGGGTGTAATATACCATCTTACTAGACATTTATAATTCATTTCCACTATATTCATATTCACTGCCGCATGTATTCAACTAAACATTTTGTTTCTTTGTTGCTCGTTCAATTTTGTTCCATTTCCCACTTCTCCAAGAATTTTTGGGATACTAGTTCCTCTATTTCAGTGAGTGTTCTATAAATCCTAGAGGTGATATGTTTCTGTATTCTGTTTGTACTCAACAGTTGCTCTAAATCACGGGTGTCAAACTAGCGGCCCTCCAGCTGTTGCCAAACTACAAGTCCCATGAGGCATTGCAAGATTGACAGTTACAAGCATAACTCTGAAAGGCATTGGCATGCTGGGACTTGTAGTTTGCAACAGCTGGAGGGCCGCCAGTTTGACACCCCTGCTCTAAAGGATAAATTTCATCCTCATTCCTTAGTGGTTGTGGGAGCTTTGCAACTTAATGTCTTATTTGTCCATCCTGCCACTCATCCAGTGTAGAAAATATTTCCTTCTTATTCTTCAAATTGTGTAAAGAACATAAAACCCCTCTATCCACAATATCTTTTAAATTTGCATTTTTATCCATTATCCATTTTCCTGAGATATCATCATTCCCGGGCGGGAAAAACCTAGTTCCCCCCCAAACGGAATGGACAGTGAATTAAATTACCAATCCTTCTGCTTATGTATTTCATCCCAATTCCTAAATACATTCCGTGCCAAAGTGCTTGTGCCCTCATCCCAAGTGCGAAATTCCTGTGGTATCCAAATAAACTATCCTAGTGGTGCCTTACTAAGTGAACTCTTCATTTTTACCCAACTTCTCCCCTGTGTATTGTATATCCAATCTACAATTTGTGATAATAGCACCAAATTATAATATCTCCTAAAATCTGTCATATTTAATCCCCCTCTTTTTTTATTACTGCACAAAACTTCATACTTGACTCTTGTTTTTTTGTTGGTCCACACATATGTAAGTATTTTTTTGAGAAACCTGAAAAAAGACCCCGGAAGATGTATTGGAAGTATATTAAATGTATATAACACTTTTGATACTATAATAATCCTAATTATATTTATCCAACCTATCCAAGACAGCTTTCCCATAGAGGTTTTCCTCAATTCATCCTTTATCTCATTTATTAATGGAATTGTATAATTTGCCTGATACAGATTTTTTTATAGGCGATGTTAGTTTTATTCCCAAATACTTTTAGTTCTTTCTCTCTCCATTTAAAGGGGAACTCTTTGTAGAATTTGTTTCTCGGCCTTTGAAACATTTATATTTAACATCTCACTTTTCGAGGGATTCATTTTCAAGTTGGATAGCTCTCCATATTCTTTCAATTTTCTCATAAATTCGGTAATGTTAATCTGGGGTTTTTGATATAAAACAGCATTTCGCCCTGCATATGCTGCCACTTTATGTTCAATATCCCCTGTCCACATTTCCTTGACATCTACACTATTTCTAACAGTTGCTGATAGCGGTTCCAAGGAGATAACAAACAGCAACGGGGACAGAGGACATCCCTGTCTTGTTCCATTATACAATTTTGATAGTGAACTGTTTACCTTCACTACAGCTGAAGGATTCCTATATAAATCTTTTATCCACTGCATCATTCTAGGTCCGATTCCTAATGTTCTCAGCATATCGATCAATCAGAAATCCCCAATCTACTCTATCAAAAGCCTTTTCAGTGTCAACTGACAGAATAATTCCCGATACCTCTCCTCTTTCATTCATTTTGCAGGATAAGCAATGTTGTTTCCTTCTCTGCCTGGTATAAATCCCACTTTGTCTAAGTGTATGCAGTCAGACATCAACTCTTTCATCCTGGTAGCTAATACCTTTGCATACAATTTTGTATTGGTATTCAACAAAGATTGGGTCTATAGCTGGTACACTGAGACCAATCTTTCCCCTATTTGGGTATTACCGGTACTTTGATATATGCCTGTAGCGATTCCTCCCTCATCTTTGTCTTCTCTCCTAGTATGTTCATATATAAACACAGTTTAGGGACTAGATCTTCTTCAAACTTCTTATAGTATCCTACGGTAAAACCATCAGGTCCAGGACTCTTTCCTACAGCTGTACCCTTTAATGCTAAGTTGACTTCTTCTATTGCTATTGGGTTATCTAAAGCTGCTAGTCTAGTTTTATCCAATCTGGGGAAACTGGCCTCTTTTAGGGAAATCTGCCTCTTCTTCCTCCTCTCTTCCTCTAATTCCTTCTGGCTCTTCCCTTCTGCTCCATATAGACTGCTATAGTACCTCTGGAATGTGTTCGCGATATCGGTGGTTGAATAAACCATTTCGCCTTTTTCATTTTTTTTACTTTAAAATTTCTTGATTTCTTTTCCTTCAACGTCATCAGCTATTTCCGTGGCCTATTCTCCCACCGATATGTTTCCTTCAAAACCCCATAAAAATCCTTGTTTCTTGTTCCATAAAATTCTTTAGCTCCTCTCTTTTTAATATTATCTCTTGTTGTAACTCTATAGTTATTCTCTTTTTGTGTAATTGTTCCAGCTGATATACTGTAGTTCTTTCATTAACATCCTAATTCTTTTTCCCCGTTCTTTCTTTATCTCCGCCCCTATTGCAATCAGTATACCTGCTTTATGTGCTTCCCATACCATGGCGATAGACCTCCTCGGACTCATTTAACTTAATATACTGATCTATTTCCTGCTTTACTCTTTTTTCTACTTCCGGATATTGTAATAGACTCATTTATATTTTATTCTGTTCCCTTCCAAACTGTAGTCTCATTGTGACAGGTGCATGGTTCAATATAGATATTACTGATATGTTAGTTTTCACCAAGGACTCCATGAGTCTGTGTTTAATCAATATATAATCCAGTCTTGAATACATCCTATGTGCCGCAGAGAAGGAGGTATAGTCTCTTTCCTTTGAGTGTTTAACCCTCCAAGCGTCCATCAGCTGGCATTGATATAACTTTTTTTTTTTATGCTCTTTATCTCCCTCTCTCCGGGTGCACGATGAGGTATCCATCTCTGGATAAAAAAAATCACCTGCCACAATCATACTACCCCTTTTGAAAGGAATACGTTTTGATAATCTTCCATCCAAATATATCATCGGATTTTTATTAGGGCAATAAATATTTGCTAATGTACACTCTCTTCTCTGCAATTTTTCTCTTAAGAATAAATATCGGCCTTTTGGGTCTGCCAGCTTTTAGTCCAGAGTGAATTTTTCCAAACCCTATCACCACTCCCTTTGCCCATCTTATTGGAGAATCCACTTAATACCAGGTTGGTAAATAACTAGAATATAGTTTAATATTTGAATCCTGGGATACATGTGTCTCTTGAAGAAACACCACTTCATTGGAACATTGATGTATTTCCCTTAGTACCTTATGTCTTTCTGTTGGAGTATTTAATCCTTTTACATTATATGTCATAAAGTTAACCATATTCCTTCTTCTTATTTAACTGTTTTCCTCTGTACTTCCTTTGTAGGGGTAAAAGTAGACTAATTCTTAGAACAAGAGGACCTACCCTTTTTTCCCTTCTTCCCTCCCCCTTCTCCCCCACCTAACCCTCCCCGTCCCCTCCCTCTTTCCTCTCCCCTTCCCCCAAGAACCCAAAAGACCTTTTTTTGGTCCTTGAATCAACTGTGGCCCACAGTCAAGGTTGATTCCTTCTTCTGGGTTAGACTCTAAGCATGCACACCCCTTCAGACCCCAGTCTCTCATATTTTTTGGTCTCAGGTTGGTATCATGTTTGGCCTCCCTACTACCCGCCATGGAGCTCCATCCTTTACCCCCACCTGCCCAATCTTCTTTGTTATGGTTCTCTATCCTGTTGTCAAGGTCCTACCTTTCTTCAGAGCTTGTGCATCTCCATGAGCTGGCATCCATCTTGGTTTTCTGCAAAGCATGGTGGGAACCTTTATGCCTTCAGGCTTCTGCGGCTCCTCCTCAGAAGGGTGTGGTTGAGCACATTTAAACCTCCTGTCTGCAAGTGTGCGCTGCACTTGTGTCCTGTATGTTGCCCTGTTGCAAGCTCTTGTGTTTTTCCCATTGCTCTCCTGGTAACCGACTCGGCTTGGACAAGACTACTCTCTGCATTAACCCTTTATCTGACCTCCCGTTGCTGAACCCGGCCCGTGACCTGAGTATTCTTTGCCTACCGTCTAGTACTGTCTGCTCCGTTGTTATTGACCCGGCTTGTCTGACTACTCTACTCGTGTTCCCATCTAGCTCCCACCAGCTATACGCCATTGGCGGCAGTCGTTATCGCAGCTGGGGTCACTCGGGGGCCGTGACCTGGTCTCAGGCTGCGTCAAGTCCATCCCCACCATCAGGGGCCCTGGTGAAGGGTAGCCTGGGGGTTAGACTCCGCGCCCTGAGGGACTCTGGTCTGTGGGTAGTGGCTGTCATCAGTCGCAGCGTGACCGTACCATAGGCCTGCCTGCCCATTCCAGCGTTTCTGCCCTGACACCTGTCTAAAACACTTTTTTACCTTACCCTGAAGGCCTCCTTCGGCCCATCCTTAAAGGAGAGGGATTTTATCCCTAAAACATTACCAGATGGATGGGTGGAGCGGGGCAACAGGGGCGTGGGAGAGAAAGAAAAAAAATTCAGTTCAAAAGGGACTCCTCTCTCTCACCTCCCTGCCACCGCCCCCGCCACTCTCTTTCTAGAAACTCTTTGCAAATTCTCCTTATCTAATCCGTTTTTCTCTTTCTTTCCTTCAGACCACCCCTCCATGTCTAACATCTGTAATTCTATTTTTTCACAAAAGTCATTTAGATCTTCTGGGAATCTCAGTTTTGCCGATTTCCCATCCTTCCACCCGATCAAGCATACCAGGAAATCCCAATTATGATAGATATTTTTACTCTTCATCTGATCTAGCAATGGTTTCAAAGATCTTCTTCTAGCCTCCTCTTCTGTGCTATGTCTGCAAAAATTTGCACTTTCAGCTCTCCATACTTTATGTCTGGCATCCTGCGTAGCTTTTTGCAAATGGTTTCTCTATCTTTATAGTGGTAGAACCTTACAGTTACATTCCTGGGAATGTCTAATGTGACTTTTTGAGATCTTTTTATCCTGTGCACTCTTTCTATTTTCAGATGTTCTGTCTCTCTCCTTCCCATTACTGAGGGTTAAACAGACTTTTCATAGTGTCCCTTAGATCTTCTCCTTGAGACATTTCTGGTGTTCCTTAAATTATTCCTTCTATCTGTATTTTCCTGGTCTTCTAATTTATAGTACAACAGTCTCTGGTCTCTTTTCATTTCCTCTACTTGCTCTTCTAATTTATTAGTTACTTGTGCTTGTTTCTCCAGTTTCCCTTCCATTTACTCTACTCATGATAGAACTTGTCCCATTTCACGGTGTAAGACTATCATTTTGCTTTTTATGGAGTTTTCTAATTTTGCAAACATATCTGCGATTTCTGCTGCTTTTGTGGGCATTTGTAGACTTGCTTCTTGCTCCTCCATACTTTTTTTTTCCCTCTTTCACTTTCAGGTTTTGAGATTTCTTTCAACTGATTTTTGTCCAATATCTCGAAAGACAATCTACCCTGACCTCCATTATAATTTTCCTCTCTGCGGCTTTCTTGAGTTAGTTCCTCTGGGCTTTTCTCCTGTAAAGGCATGTACTTTTTTGTTGTACTTGTATTTAGATTCGACTGAGGGATTTTCGCACCCCTTCTTTTAACTGATCTACTCTTCATGATTCTCAAATTATATGGGGGGATATAATGCTAAATACAGGTTTACTTTTCAGCTTAAGTCCTGAATAGACTGTCCTATCTACCGCTTGGGCCCCCAGACACTGATATTGTATCCTCGGTACCCCCAGACTCCGCTGTAGCATACAGGTAAACAGTTATTCAACTTTTGGGGATTTACCACCTCCCACGGCCACTTACCCATTCCTGTATGTTGCTTACAATGGCTGTTCGTTGTTTATTCTTTATTCCCTTCCTAGATCTCGCTGGGTGATCCTTTGTGTGTGGGGGCTCTTAGCACCAACAGTTTCCTCCTCGGGTCTCGACCTCGCATCCTGCGACCGGCTCCGCAACGCACTCCCCCGTGCCACTTACAGCCGCCACCACCACTCCAGGTTCCACATCCCAGCAGGGGATTCCCTGTGCTGCTCCGGGGGCCAAGCCAGTGGTCCATTAGGGATGGAGCAGAGCAGGTCAATGCTTCTCTCCCCGGTGTTCAGCTCCCAGGCCCACAGGTTTCTCAGCTGGTCACCTGACCAATCACATGGTTCCTCTCTGTCCTCTGCCTCTCCACTGGGTACCTCTTCTCCTAGTGACAGGTGGCCATCACAAGTCTCCCTGCTCCGCTCTGCACCTTGATCTGCTAATGTACCAGGTTTCCCCACACCAAGGCTTCCCGGTGGCAACACAGGCAAGCAGGGGGGGTCGGATGTGCACCATTTACTCGGCGGGAATGGGAGCTCCTAACACATGCCACTGTGGAACGCCATGCTCATGCCCCTTCCCCTCATAGCGAATTTGATGATCTTCAGACTAGTGTTTACTAATGCCAATTCTGGATAACCTATGCATAACATAAGGCTATATGGGATTACTTTAAGAAAACTGTGTATTTAAATGTATCCTGTTATCTGTTACATTATATTTACTTTTCTTATCTTTAGAACTCTTTATACATATAATTTCTTTCCTTAAGGACCTCATACAACACAGCTGTCCTTCCTCTACTGTAAATCAATCACCATCCCTATCAGTAAACATTGCTGTACTACATGCACATATTACCTTGTCCACACGGTCTTTCTGAACTCCATAACGTCCTCCAAAACCTTTGGAATAGTCTGTACAGAGAGACAACATTACCAAATCTATAAATACATACTGTAAAATGTATCACTAACTTTCAAACTGTTACTGAATATTTTTTTAGCCTGTATTACAAATAAGCGTTTTGAAAAATATAGGGTCAATTCAGTAAGACATAATCACGCTGTATTTTCATTATTTTAAGTTATATACTTTTTTTTATTAAACACTGCTTTTATAACCCACTAAAGGTTCTAATGTGCAGATCAGATTAATTTACTGCATGCTTATTCCATATATGGCTGAAAACGTAGAAATATACTGTTAAACACTATAGCTTCCGGCTCATATTAATTGTGTGGTTCTATGAGGTGTCTATAAGCAGTTAGGCTCCACAGCCTTTTTTACATTATAGACCCCAGGACACAAAAGTGATAACTAACATGTTAGCTTGGAAGTCAGTAGAATAATGCCTTAAATGTTAAGTTTACCTTTCTGAACATGTTATATACACTATATTGCCAAAAGTATTGGGACACCTCTCCAAATCATTGGATTTAGGTGTTCCAATCATCTCCATGGCCACACAGGTGTATAAAAGCAAGCACCTAGGTATGCAGACTGCTTCTACAAACATTTGTGAAAGAATGAGTCACTTTCAGGAGCTCAGTAAATTCAGGCGTGGTACCATGATAGGTTGCCACCTGTGCAATAAGTCCATTTGTGAAATTTCCTTGCTACTAAATATTCCAACTGTTAGTGGTATTATAACAAAGAGGAAGCAACTGGGAACAACAGCAACTCAGCCACGAAGTGGTAGGCCATTTAAAATTACAGGACGGGGTCAGCGCATGCTGAATTAGCCAACTGTCTGCACAGTCAATAACTAAAGACCTCCAAATTTCATGTGGCCTTCAGATTGGTACAACAACAGTATTTAGAGAGCTTTAGGGAATAGGTTTTCATGGCCGAGCAGCTGCATCCAAGCTTTACATCACCAAGTGCAATGCAAAGCATTTAATGCACTGGTTTAAAGTACGCCACCACTGGAGCAGTGAAGGCGTGTTCTCTGGAGTGACAAATGATGCTTCTCTGTCTTGCAATCCAATGGAAGTGTTTGGGTTTGGCAGTTGCCAGGAGACCGGTACTTGCCTGACTGCATTGTGCCAAGTGTAAAGTTTGGGGGAGGGGGTATTTTGGTGTGGGGCTGTTGTTCAGGGGTTGGGCTTAGCCCCTTAATTCCAGTGAAAGGAACTCTTAAGGCTTCAGCATACCAAGACATTTTGGACAATTCCATGCTTCCAACTTTGTGGGAAAAGTTTGGGGATAGCCCCTTCCTGTTCCAACATGACTGCCACCAGTGCGCAAAACAAGGTCCATAAAGACATGGATGAGTGAGTTTGGAGTAGAGGAACTTGGCTGGCCTGCACAGAGCCCTGGCTTCAACCTGATAGAACACCTTTGGGATGAATTAGAATGGAGACTGCGAGCCAGGCCTTCTCGTCTGAGAGGTCAACTAAGACTGGGATGCCATTAAAGTTCATGAGCGTGTAAAGGCAGGCGTCCCAATAATTTTTGAAATATTGTGTATTTCACCTTTATTTAGGGTGTAACATATAACATGTTCAGCATCCTCCCCCTCCCCCAATCTCCTCTCCTAGTAAAGGTAATTGTAGTGCACAGAAACACAATATATTACCCACTTTATTGGTAAAATATGAAGGATGACATTCTGCCAAGTAAAAAGATACCAACCATGTCAAAACTTAACCTAAAACTTCAGTAACCAATATTGTCCATAGGAGATGCCTTTACAGGTCTTCAGTTTAGAGTTAACCATGAATGATAGCCTTAGAATTATTGCTTGTACTTCCACATGAGTGGCAATACTTAATATGTTTAATGCAATTGTTGTATTCATATGTAGGTGCACCCAACTGAACTTTTACATATGTATGTACGTGTATAAAGAGGGCGATACCATTACCAGAAAGCCGACAGTCAGTTTGACAGTTTCTAAACATACTCCCAACTGCGTGTAAGTGTGTAGCCACAATATTTAAATGGCATTGGTAGACAAGGGGTTAAGGCTACATTAAGACAGGCATTTTGTCACGGTAAACTTGGATACACACTGTGGGCAACCAGCAGCGATCACCACAGGTAATCGCAGGCTGTATGAACAGCAATGAATAGCTGTGACTGCTGCCAACCTGTCATTGAAGTGTATGGGGTTGGCAGCTGCAGCTAGCCGCTCACACTGGTCAAACACAGCAACAGGAATCCGTAGATTCCTGCCACTGCCATTCGCACTGTGGCAAACGCCTGTGAAAATGTAGCCTAATGAAAACAGGGACATTCCAGTACTTGATTTACCTCTGAGGTATCTGAAGTATAGTGAAATAAAGAGAAATGATGTCAAATAACAAAACAGAAAAATTCCCAGCTCAACTTGCCTGCCAGCTTGCAAACAAACCAAATTAAGCTGTCTAACAGTATGTGTTAAGAACAGGAGTTTAGTTAGCACACTTTTGCAAATACATGCGTAAGCTGCAGAGCCTCGTCACGGCACCCCAGTATTCTGTAGTTCCTAACTCTACAAGTTTTAAGAGCCCCCATAGTAGAGGCACATGTATTAAATGGATAGACCAAGGGCAGGTGAACCACCCCTCCTTAAATTTGTAGAGTTAGGAACTCTACAGGCATGGTGTGAACCAGCCCTGGTTTCTTTAGGTGTTCATCTCTTTCTTTTGTCTGTATGCAAGAAAAATAAATACAAGTTTGGCTTACTGCACACTGAAGGACATTTCCATTACACAGGTCCAAATAATACAGTCAGTGTCCTAACCAATCTCAGAGCACTTGGCAGGCAAGACTGTAGAATCCATAATGTGAAATTGTCTGCCCTACACTAAGCACTGACACAGGGAGATGGGATCTCAGCCTCCCAACAGCTGCAACTCTTCCTGTTCTCTGTTCATCTTGTGTCCAGTTGGAGATAAAAGATGACTAAGTGGTGGATGTTAACTCTTTCAGCAAAGTAGAAAGCAAACAGCACATATGTGATATATGGGAGGAATCTGCTTCTGCTTTAAAGAACAGGAGTTGACAGACAGTCCCCAGGGCCCCCTGGAGCAGGGGACAGGTTGCAACCTTGTTCAACCGCCATTGTTAAGCCAGTGACATGACAGATCCATCAAGATAAAATGCCAACATAGACTTTCTGCTGAATGAACCCACATATAAAGTGACAGTAATCAGCTCACCTTGCTGTGAAGAATGTTGTTCAATTTGACCTTTGTAATCAAATCCTACTGCAGACTAAAATAAAAAACAAATATAAAAATATGGAAATGTAAAGAAAGTGTTTAATATATATAGGTGTACCTGGGTTTACGACTTTTTGTATTGCAAAAAATTTGTAAACGCGGTCTCTCATAGGAATGCATTGAAAACCAATTAATCCGTTCAGGAGGTCAGAAAAAAGTAAAAATAAGTATTTTATCTGTTCAAAACTCTTTATAAAGTGCACTTTAAAGGCATAAATACTGTACAGGGACATGATTAAAAATTAATTCGTAAATGCACTGAAAACCACTTAATCCGTTCCGGAGGTCAGAAAAAAGTAAAAAAAGTTTTATCTGTTCAAAACTCTTTATAGAGTGCACTTTAAAGGCATAGTACTGTACAGGGACATGATTAAAAAAAATCATAAATGCATTGAAAACCAATTAATCCGTTCGTATTGTGAAAAACATTTTGAAAAATGAAAATTACGTTAACCGAGGCGTTCGTAAACCGAGGTACGCCTGTACTAAATATATGTATATACTGTATATGTAACTTTGACTTCTTGAACATATATGCTGAATATGTATAAATTAAACATATTTAAAATTTGCAACAAAGTAGTGTAAGGCTACTTTCTCACTGATCCATGGCAAAAACGTGCTAAAAATGAATATGCGTTTGTATTTTATGCATTTCAATGGGGAGGTGCTTTTTTGGTGTGGCTTTTTCACCGCACCAAATCTGCACCAAAAATGCAGTAAGCAGGATTTTACTAAGCACAGTGGACCTGCAACTGATGAATGTGAAGAGTTCCATAGCATTACATGGTCGCGTGTTCTTTCTCTGCTTTTTTTTTAAGTGCAAAAGCAGAAGAAAAAAGGATCAATGTGAAAGCAGCCTTTTTATTACGATTTTTTACAGGACATGTTACTTAAAAACAGCAACAGAAATGCAACGCAGGTGTGTATTTTATGCATTTTGCAGCATTTTCCATTGATTTCAATAAGAAGGTGTGTTTTTGGTTTGTTTTCTTTTTCCGCACAAAACCTGCATACCAAATGCAGCAAACAGGATTTTAAAAATCGCACTTGACCAGCAACGGATCAGTGTTAAAAGTTCCATAGGAATACATGGTCACGCGTTTACTTCTGCTCTTTTTATCGCAAAAGCAGAAGAAAGATGGATCAGAGTGAAAGCAGCCTTAGGAGCAATGATGATTTGCAAAGTGTGGTAACCTACAACAACCAATCAGATTTCAGTTTATTGTAGACACATCTTTGAAGAGAAGATTTCTGGCTTTTGTCAATGAGTAATTGTACCATTACCGGGAACGCTCACAAACTGCTATGCTTGTGTTACCCAGAACTCTTATCTTGGGTAACAATGGAAGGTTTCCAGATTACCCCTGCTGATGGTTATCTGGAAGGTACACACACATCTATCCTTTTGCACTCCATATTTGCCTCCACCTCGGTCTGTGATCACATCTATCCTTTTGTAAAGCACTCCATATTTGCCTCCAAAGCCTTTAGCTGGCTAAAAAAGGTCTGAGTGAGGAAAGTGGTTTTTCACAACAGTACAATAGCACTTCTGCCGCTAGGGTCCTTGTTTCAGTCGTGACTCCTGGCACTCCCTGTGCCTGCGTGTAAAAAGAGAAGGTAAATTGATATCAGTTGTGAAAAATTATTCTAAATTGAGTGTTTTGGCCAGTGTACATTGTTTTGGCACATATCTTGATTTTTAATTTGTAGAGATTATATACAGTTAGGAAATCTCTTTTCTGTTCACAGAAAAATGTAATCTTAGTACTTAGTACTTTTACAGTTATAAAAAAACGTGAAGCATTTGACACAAGTGTCTTGCCTGAGGTGACATTTAAAAGAAGTGGTTGCATTTTCTTTAAGTCCCACAGTGGTTCTCAATCGGATTTAAGTCTGGTGACTGCGATGGCCACTAGTTCCAGCCTTTCACAACATGTACAATTGGAGGTATGCTAATTGTGGTTAGCATTTCCACCTGGCCAAACATAGCGTTGATCCAGCGCTAGGGTCTCCTTGTTTCAAATCCCAACCATGGCACCCCCTGCCTGGAGTTTACATGTTCTCCCTGTGCCTGCGTGGGTTTCCCCCCCACACTCCAAAGACATGCTGGTAGGTAAATGGATCTAGTATATGGTATGAATGTAAGTTAGGGACCTTAGATTGTACACTCCTTGAGGGTTAGGGACTGATGTGAATATAAACTATATACCACACACACATATATATATATATAAATATATATATATATAAAAAGAGCTGCATAAATTGATGGCGATTGTAAGTCCCTGTAATAAACATATTCTATATTGCCCTTCCTGTGAGAAAATGGGTAGATCTGTGGTTTCTGGAAGATCATGACTCCACAGTCTTTTTAATCTGTATTAGGTGGTAAAACCTGATGGGGCGGGGTTGAATAATTGATTATAGATATTTGAATTACAGTTTTTAGTGAATTTAGAGTGACACAAAACTCTGGTTTCTAAAAAGATTCTTCTACTATTTTAGTTTTGGACAGAGTGGAGAGGAACACACACATATATTTGGTAATGTAATAAACTGTCAGTTTTTATATTTGAATTACAGTTAGTGAATTTAGAGTGACACAAAACTCTGGTTTCTAAAAAGATTCTTCTACTTTTTAGTTTTGGACAGAGTGGAGAGGAATTTGGTAATCTGTCAGTTTTTATTCCTGTCTGTGCCCCTCCCTTAGGGAGATTCACCCAAATTTGGGTTGTCCCCATAAAAGTAACAGAGGGGAAATCTTCCAATGCGGACACTAGTTCTGGTGACCTAGGAGGCTCCTAGAGATTCCCCTAATTTGCATTGATTTTCCCTCACTTTCTACTTGGCTATGGAACAGGAAGTGAAGGTAAATCTCCCTAATTGAACAAAAATGGCTAAAACAAATCACAGGGGTTATAACCCTCCCTTACCCTAACCAAAATGAAAAAAAAAAGTTTTGCTTATAGTTCTACTTTAAAAAACTATCCTTGATTGCTTCTCAAAATCTCAATATTTAGTTATTTTTTACTGCTTTTATCTGACTTTCTGTTAGAGGGTGGCTATGTTTGTTTTCCATGATCCTGTTGTACGTAGGAATGTAGCCACCTTCTCACTTCTGCGATGGACTAAGTACTAGGTGTGACGATTGCGGCGTCAGACCCCAGCCCTTCTCACCAAACTTGTGACCAAAGGACTAGCCAATCTAAAACCGCGCTGTCACGTGCGTAACAATGCCACGCCCAGCTGCACAATGCACAAAGATTTTCCAGCTAATGGACAACAATCTGTGTATCTGCAGCCTGGGAGCGATTGTTACTGGGTCGGGTTATTTACGCAATTAACCCTTCACACTGCCACCACCTCCTATTTGTACAGAGAAAGAGTAAACTCGGCAATATCAGCAATAACACTATGATGTTGAATAATCGTCTGTATACCACTGTCCCCACAGGCAGGGTATATAGAGGTTTAAACATACACAGTAGCGCTCTTCAGAGACAGGGGTTCTTAGTTTGCATTCAAGAGCTTTAGAAGCAGTTCAACACTTTCAGAAAGTAAGATTTATTACTAAAAGGTCAAAAGGGTGCAATAAAAGTATTTACAGAAAAGGATGTAGCCAATATATATATATAAATATACAGAGAGCAATACCACAGCAAAGAGATAACAGAAAGAAGTTTTTAGAGAGATAAAGTACTTGCCAAAAGTCCTGGGTTAAGCAGATCAAGTTTTCTGAGCAAAAGGGCCTTATCTCCCAAAGTTAGTTCCGATGTTACAAAGGAGCTTCTTCAACTTCAACTCAACTCAGCTTTTTCTTAGCTTAGCTCCAAGCATAATAGCTTTTCTAGGAACTCAGCAGGGTGTCTCCTTGAAGCAGAGAACCAATCGCCTAATTTGGGGAGGGTGTTGGGCGGAGACCCAAGCTAGAACCAAAATCCCTCTCAAGTTGATACCAGGGCAATAACTTTCCCTGAATACATGTAACATTCTATCCACGAGTAGATTAATATGCAGAATCACCTGCCGAACGTCTAGATATGAAATATGACATACAAGCTGGGACGGTTCAGGAGATATCGTTTTCTGCTCTCCTGTAGATTCCAGCTCGGGGGTGTAATATATCAGACGACTTGTATTAAAGTGACCGGTCTGAATATATGCCTGGTTTTTATCTAAGTCTTCCATATCTCCAGATATAAAATTATATGGAAAAGGGGATTTTTAAATGTGAGACCGTTTTACGACTACCTGGAATGTCTTTGAAGCTCAGTGAAGGACTGGTTTTATGGCTTTACGATATCCCAGATTGGGAAGCTAACAGACATCTGGGCACCAGCTAGGTTGGAATTTGTAGCCATGGAGCTCTCCCACTGGGGCCTGTTGGCTTTTGAACTCAGCATACACACACAGACCACATTCCTGAGGGAGGGGGGAAATCGGAGGAGGGAGACTGATTTGGGAGTAGAAAATGATAGAAGATGGAGGCCTTTGCCAAAATGGAGGTTCGCATCCAGCTCTGTGTGCACGATTGCTACACTAGGGACTATGGGATTTGCAGTGTGCATCGAGCAGTGTACATGATCACAACTAACGTGCACTGCTCATTCCAAACAAATGAAAGTGAGAGGAGAAAAATATAGGTTCAGGAGCACACGGAGGAAGTTACAAGTAAGCAAAAAACACAGTAAGAAACAATTTTATGATAACAAGATTATTAGGACAGCTGTTATTGGGACACAACGAGTAAAGGAAACCTTCTCAACCTGCAATAAGCACCTAACAAAGGATGCACCCCTCCCCCACTATATCCAAAACTGAACAAAAAAAAGGGCTAGAGTTCTACTTTAGGAATGCTGGTTTACCTTGTCCATCCTGTCTTTCTCTGTTCCAAATTGTCCTCCATATCCATATGAGGCTTTTGGACCTTCCTGTAACTCCTTCTTCTTTATTTGTTCATGTTCTTTAGAAACACTGCTTCTTAGCTGATTTATACTTTCCAAGAAAATAGTAATCAAAAAAGGTTACAGTCTATACATTTGTATATCTCATAATTCAATTATTGTTATGACCAAAAACAGCTTTATTCTGCTATCCCAACAGATGTTACACTCGAGCAGGTCAGTCTACACTTCCTTTTTCCTCTGCTGTAGGTGCCAGCTCTTCCTATGAAACATACACATTCCCAGCCCACCTGGGGGGTACAACTGCTTCTCAGCATGCAGAAGGATCATCTGGCTCTCTGAATGTAAATCTGTACTGAATGCAATATGGAGGCTGTCGTTACTGACCTCTTCTTCTGAAAGCAAACAGTTCAAACAGATCAAGGCTTCTGACTTTTTTATTATTATTATTATTATTATTATACAGGATTTATATAATGCCAACTGTTTGCTCAGTGCTTTACAATATAACGGGAGACAATACAGTTCAATACAAGTACCGTTAGGAGGGCCCTGCTCCTTGGAGCTTACAATGACTTTACCCTGAGTTTATTTTGTAGCATTATTGTCCTAGGTGAGAACCCAAAGAAAAAATGAAGGCAGAGCGAACCAGGCAACTAGCATTTTCAGAATGTGTACAAACAGTTTCTTCTAGTTTTGTGACTTTAAAGTGTTACTAAACCCACAAAAGTAAAATCAGTCTGCATATTGCTAGAGATATTTTTTTTCTCTTGGGAGAGTGCATGTGATCAGCACAGGGCCAATCCGCACTGTCCAGACAGAGGTCAGGGGTTCTGCATCTTCCTAGAGCAGAAAGAAAACTCCTCCTACAAGCTTTAACCGGTGCTCTGCTGAGCACTGATAGAAGTCACAAGACTGCTCTGACTGCTGATGAGAAAAGGTATTTAGTCGTTTATATTTACTAAAATAATTGCACTTCCATGTTGTGTGTACTGTAGGAGACCAGATAATGCAGGGTCCGGGGTTTAGTAACACTTTAAAGATGCCAAACATTGTGCCAAAATATGCTCTACTGTTAAAATAAAATTTTTTATTATAAAACAGTTAAAACAAGTGTGATTTGAACTTAGTACCATACTTTTTACAGGTGTATTACATAATATAGATACATAAAACTTATTTCCATGTGTTTCACAGTCAATTCACTATGTATTCCTCTCCATTCAACAGTGAGTTCCCAGATGGAAATTAGTATCCACACAAATTATGGCACGTTTTTGTGGGTATGCACACCCCACTTCCGCAGGTTCTGTGAAACGACAAGATACAGGGGTTGATTTACTAAAACTGGAGCGTGCAAAATCTGGTGCAGCTCTGCATGGTAGCCAATCAGCTTCTAACTTCAGATTGTTCAATTAAAGCAGAACTTCACTCTCTCAATCAACATGGGCTATTTCTAATCCTTAGGCTGCTTCCATTAGTAAATATATAGAAAAGTATATCATATTTACTTGTGTTAACCTTTTTTTTGTATTCCTTCATTTGCTTCCTGGTTTCCATGCCTAGGCAAATGATGTGATACATCCCAGGGGTCTTCAGGAGGGGAGAGAGGGTTCTCAGCTCAACCAATGCCTGAGCTAAGGACAGATGGATTCCAGGAAGTAACTACTTCACACGAATCATCTGCCCTTAGTCTACGTTCCCACCTACGCATTTTCTGCTGCGTTTTGCAGAAACACACAGCAATCCACTTAACATGATTTCCTATGGGACAGGTTCACATCTCTGTTTTCACCCCGTGCGTTTTTTGGAAAGGGTCAGGGACTTTTTTAAATGCAAAACATTGTGTTTTTGGTTCTATAGACTTCAATGGAGAAGCTGCAGAAAAGCAGGTAGTGTGGTTTTTATGTGTTTTTGATGTGTTTTATTCTGCCCAGCGACAAGTTGAAAAATAAAAGAAAAACGCATCAAAAAGGCGTCAAAAACGTATGTGAAAAACGCAAAATGCACTGCAGAAAAGGATCAAACACAAACTGCATAAGCGTGAACCTAGCCTCAAGATGGCCACTGCCAGAAATGCCAGAAGGTGTTTTTTTAAGTGATTTCACAGCCAAATAAAGTATGGAGACATGATGGATGCATGGAGGAGTTTGTTTTGAATATTAAAAATTAAATTATATAGAATTTTTGGTTTGTGGTGCTCAGATGCAGTGCTTTCTACTTTAAGCGTTGACAAAAAAAGCTGATTGGTTTCTAAGCAGAGATGCACCAGATATGCACTCTCCAGTTTGAGAACATCAACCCCACGGTCTGAATTTTCCATTTCTAACTATATATATATATATATATATATATATATATATATATATACACTTTTACACATATTTATTTATACATCTCAAACTAAAATAGAAGGTTATTCCCCAACTGGAATTATTGGCCTGGGGACCACTATCTACTATCTACAACCAACCTTCCCTAAAGGCCAATAACCAGAAGAAACTGTGTTTGTATCTATTGATCCTAGGAATGTTGGTGGCTATCCACACAATCCTGGCATCATATATATAGGAATTCAGAATGTGGTCAGCATTGGAAGCATAAGGGTCCATGCACACTGTACTTTAAAAAAAATGCCAGTCACCTTGCCAGAAAATGCTGTGCAAAAAACGCTCACATGTAGCATTTTTGTGCCAGTGTTAAGCAGTGTTTAGCTGTGTTTAGGAGCCATAGCGTTTAGAAACATTTTTACAACAAAACATTAGAGAAACAAAATGGCGTATAACAGAGCTTAGGAGCATTTAGCGCTTTTTAGCTGCCAGAAAAATGCTCAGAAGCGCAAACTAGAAGGGTTTTTTATGCTTCTAAACGCTGGATTTAAAAAATGCCTCTATACTATTGTGCATGTACACATAGGATAACATTAGCTGCTTCAGCTTCTAGAGGCAAAAAAAACCCCCAAATAAACTAAACGGCTCCAGAAGCAGATGTGCATGGATCCTAATTATTTCACACAGTACAGGCTTTGCTTTAAAACCTTGTTCACGCGTGTTAATCATCACCCACACAGATGTCAGATTGGGAGCAGCATCTGTGTCCATGCAACTGCTGCGTTCCAATTGACATCAACAGGACTGCCTGCAAAGGGATGTACGGAACACCTGTGCATCCCCGTGTGGGTAAGCACAGTCCTCCAGGAGCAAAAGCTTCAGTACACCCAAGGCTGTGGATAAGGGGGTAACACCAGTCCTCCTGTACGGGGCCCAGGCCTGCAAGGGGGCCCAGGCAGCTGGGTGAATCGGATGTGGGCAGGAAGGGTGAGCAGGGAAATTACTGGAACCAATCCCCTGTATGGCTCTCTCTGCAGCAGCTGAAAGCTGGTTTCTTCTCCTCCCTCCCCCAGCTAGCTTTCAGCTGCTGCAGAGAGAAACATACAGGGGATCCGTTCCAGTAATTTACCAGTCCCTTCCATTCCTGAATGAACACAATGAGTGATTGGTACCAATCACTCACTGTGTTCATTCATAACTGAAGCATAGTAAACTGTTTTTTGTGGGGATGGGGGGGGGGCCCTGTTAGGTTGGCTGTATGGGGCCCTGTGGTATGGGGGGCCCTGTCAGGTTGGCTGTAAGGGTCCCTATGGTTTCTACCAGCAGCCCTGAGTACACCCCTGTGTGAAAGAGGCCTAAGTCTGGAGAAAATAATAAATGAGTAAATACATTTAATAAATGATATCTATATTGTCACCATTAAAGAACTGGAAAAAAGAGAGCTGCAAAAAGAACCCCAAAAAAACATACCTGTCAGAGTTAGAGCATCAAGGATTTTGATGTGCTGAACAAACAAATCACTTCCTTGCCTGTGTGCAGTTTTGCAATTAATGACAATTTGCCAGAAGTTTGAAAAATAGGAACAGCCATTGCTGTTAGAAAAGTAGGCATTGATAATGGTGATATGTTTTTGCTTCTGGGGCAATTATTCTAATTCTTACTATTCTACTGAGTGAGCCTATTATACAAATATGAGTGTTGCTATTTTAAATTAGGCAGAGCACAGCAGGATGATGCGCAAAAGTGTGGATGTGTTGGAAATGCAGGCACATGTTAACGCTTGCCCACCACCCTATAGTAGAAGTACTGCTAAAGGGTGGCAGGGCTGCACAAAATCACATATACATAGGTGCTTTGCATCTGCAGGTAGGATGTGCACACTGCCATACCCACGCTGCTATTGGTGGCTAGAGATGTCAATCACCGAGGACCAGCCGGTAATTCCCAGCTGGTACTTGGCGATCGCGATGTAAAGCTAACAGGGGAGAGACCTGTGTGTAAACACATATAACCAAACCACAGCCCCTTCAGTTACATTTTTCTATCCATACAGGGCCTGCACTTTGTTTTTTAGTGGGATTGGCAGATTAAACACATGTACAGAAGCAGGACATACTTAAATGTTACATTTCCTTTAAAATAACACTTTCATGAGAGATGTGATGAGTTGATGACATTGATGACCTCTTTATGAAAACACTAGTTGACTTGCCGGCACGCTGATCCTCAGGCTTTATTACTTTCTGAGTTGCCAAGCCAGAGAAGTCAGAAGTCCCTACGTGCATACTTTTCTGAGTCAGAGAAACAACAAGAGCCAACATGACAGCCTGGTAACTAAAATTTAAGGAGAAAGCTGTATTGGTGGTCTCCATATTTCTATCATGACAGGTATTCTTTGAATAAAACTAGACATTCTGCTCAATTTTATCAACAAATTAGAAGACTTACTCTATATGCTGAGGACGGCCAGATCCTTGAATGGTTTTAGCCCCCCACCTTTGTTCTTCTTCACTGATGTCGTTCTATGAAAAGTACATTTTAATATAACAAATAGCACTAAAAGTAGCAAGTAAACATCTATTCTTTATTTCTGTCAGCACAACAAATTAGCATGTCAGTGTTTATTAAAGCTAAAGATCTTTGGTGTATTAGGCGTGTCAAAAAAATATTGGCTCTGTAATGAGTGGGAGCTGGCTGTCTGTCAGTTTAACAGCTTGGCCCCTCTCTCTGAATCAGGAGCACTGGCATTGGCGTCTGTGTGAATGAAGCCTGTAAACAGTGTATTCATTAATAGCATGTTGTTACAGTGGAATTTGTTGTATTGTGTATTTTCAGATCAAAATAAAATTGAAAAAGAAAAATTAAATAAAGAGGTTTATGAGGCTGCTGGAGATCATATTGTGTAAAGCTCAATTCACAGAATGAGAGATTCAACAGCCTCACAAATGCCCATATATTTAAATTTGAATAATTTTTCTTTGCCGGAAAAAAAAAAAAAAAAAAAAAAAAAAGAGGTGACTTACCACGAAATCTGGATCAGTTTCCCAGTCATCTCCACCGTCGGTCTGAGTTACTGAAACATTATGTCCCACAGCTGCCTTCCACATCTGTTGTAAAAGCATGTATAGGATGAGACATTATTGAATGTTACCTGATAAATCTCAGAGAGCACCAAAAATATCTTTTGAATACCATTAAAATGGTTTTCCTGTTACAACTGAAGGCCATTATTTTCTTTTGGTGAAATTAATAAGTGTACATATGGAACTTCTTCTATGTAAATGTATAAACAATGGGAGAGATTTACTTAAATTGGTGCAGTCAGAATCTGGTGCAGCAGTATATGGTAGCAAATCAGCTTCAAACTTCACCTTGTTCAGTTAAGCTTTGACAATAAAACCTGGAAGGTGATTGCTTTCTATGCAGAGCTGCACCAGATTTTTCACGCTCCAGCTTTAGTAAATAAAATAGGTGCTAAGATATTCCTTAACCACATCCCGTCCGGCCCATGTACATAAACGGCCTGACAGGAGCAGTGCAGGAGCGGGTTGCCATTCATAAACGGCACCCGCATTTTCAGGCTATGCGCACTCCCTGGGAGTACCGATCGCTGTACGGGACCTCTGTGTGAGGTCCCGATCATGTGATCACTGATTGGCCAATCAGTGATCACATGAATAGTAGTAAGCAAGATGTCACTTGCTGACATCATTGCTTACTACTAGTGAAATCTGTGAATGATCACAGAGGTCACATGGTACAAAGCTATTCACAACAGCCTTGTACCATGTGACAAGCTGTGACCAATGACAGCTCTCACAGTATTCCTCAATGGCTGCAAGAATGCAGCCAGAGAAAATGTTTTGGGCCTAGCATTAGTGAGAATAAACATGGCCTCAGGGGTGGTGGTCAGTAGGAGGAAGAGTAGTGCCCCATCATTGGTATTAATGGGAGGAATAGTACCCCATAAGTGTTATCAGTGGAAGAAATAGTGCCCCATTGTAGGTGTCAGTGTCCCAAGGTCCGGATAAAGGCTAGCAAAGGGCCACATCCGGCTCTCGGGCTGCAATTTGGAGACCCCTGTTCTAATAGCTCAAATGTATGCTGACTCTCATGAACTGATCTTTGGGTATATTATTAAATGAAGATGGGGAATAACGAAAATAGGATTTTGAATGTAACCTACCATCTGAAGATAAATATAGTTAACTGCAAAAAATGTATTCTTTCTTTGTCAATATCAAAGGTCAATTTCTATGCCCTCAATTTTAATGTAAATGCTTCTAATAATGTCATATCTCCATCCCAGATAAAAAATATATCATCAATATATCTTTTTTTTCATACAACAAAAGAAGAGATAAGAATCTCAAAAAAAACACATTCTTCTCCCATCTGGCAATAAATAGATTGGCCAGCATGGGAGCAAACTTGGCTTCCATATTTAAAATTCCCATTTAAGGATAGTATCTAGGCAGTAGTTTAAGAGTACGACTTATTCTACAGCAAACCATGTGAATAAAGAACAGATTACATGGTTTTATTATGATTGGATGTTTATAATAACATCAATATGCTCCATTAATTTGCTGTGATACCACACATTATATTTGTCCTAAAAAAGTAAATGTTACTATTTATACTGCAGGAGGAAGTGGAGAAAATGCTGCTTCTTTTAGTCATCATTAAACATATGTAGGCATTTCAGATAAACTGTAAATGCTTCTTTATTCTGTATTATTGTGAGTCTATGACTCAAGTTAATTCTATGTGATATCTTGCAACAGACCCAGACTGGCCATAGAGCACACCGGACAGTTGCCCGGTGGGGTGGGGCCACCAGGCCACATAACAAGAGCTGGCTAATGAAGGGGTCCAACCCCCAGACTGCAGACTGGTACCAGTCCGTGGCCTGTTGATGACCTGGCTGCACAACGGGCTGGACAGGGCCCAACACCCCTTTGTCCCTGGAAAAGTTGGCTGCTCAGTCTAAAATTGGCCTATTTTTTTGTCCCAGTCTGGACCTGATTCTTACCATAATTTCTATAGTAGCAAATGATATAAGTAATGCAAATAATTTCCAATTTAATACTGCATTTAATAGGACTAGTAAACCTTAATTTTAGCTTGCCTCACAAAAACTGCTGCCAATGCCTAAACCAATATTTCATTGATAGACATGCAGTCATGTCAACACACAGGCAACGAACAGTAAATAAAAGTGACTCAAAAGGAAAAATGACACTGCTCACAACAGCTTACAGTCTACTAGCATAAGTCAAAGGTGTTTACGATGTTGTTATGCTGGTCTTGCTGGGTTACCCTATTAAGGTTTGAAAATATATACAGTATGTACAACATTTTGGAACGTATTAGAATGAAGATATTTAAGCTTGAAGTAGACATTTATTTTTAACTTAAAACCACCCCTGCCCTGGCTCTATAGTCCCCAAAAGCTATCTACAGCTAAAAGCCCCCTTCTCAGGTGCCTGATGGCAGCTGCCTCACATTTTTACATCCCAGCTGGCAAAATAGCATCCAATAGACTTAAATTACTTCATCTGTAATGTTGCTTTAGCAGTATGGGTATGTTCCATTCAATGCTATGGCATGTTATTGTGCAGGTGTGGGAAGCAACTGACGGGATACACTCTATATTAGGAGAGTCTGTGAGCATTCCTGATACACAGAGCAGACCAGTTTTTATAATGACAATGGAGCCTAGTGGAGTTCACACGGAGACTGGCTCTACTAGTGTAACCTACAGGGCTGGGCTATTGGTTTGACAGCAGGGTCCTCAGATGTCCTGATATTAAAAGAAGCTCCAGCTCAGCTATGCTTCCTACCCCCTCCACAGTGCCTGAAGTAGGAGTCTCTCTTGTCCTAGAGTTAGACTTGAATAGAGGAGAGAAGCATGACTACAACTCTCAGCCAGTAGTCAGGGAAAATGGGGTAAACAAGATATCATGATACCTAGTTTGATATCAACAACAGTTTGAGTTATAAATATTTCCACCATTAAAAAGGTATAAATATTGATGCAATATGCAATGGTGAGGTGCACCCTGACAAGTTATGGTGAGGAGGGCCAAAAGGAACCAAAAATCCCTGTACTGAGTCACTGCAAAGCACAGTAGAGCCTTTGTAAAGCAGATGATATTTCAATTGTTTGACTAAACTCACACAGTAGCAAAATTGTAATTTTTTATATTTTATGACAGGGCTAAAACAGACACCACCGAGAAGAGTTGTATGTTTTCTACACTTGCTAGCCATTTCCTCTTCATAAAATGCAGTCATATTGCTACCAAGCTACATTTCTGTAAACTACAAATAGAGGAAAGTACGATTAGTACAATATGGTCTAAAGTGGAAATGATTAAATAAAAGCACAAATGCTCCATATATAGCAGTGATAGTCTGACATATCACCAGCTCCTAGCATTTCTTATACCAGAACTGCACTATACTATAGCTCTAGTCTTGTTTTGGACATTCAGTGTAATTATATTTTTATAATTCAGCTAAACATTGCACTAAACTATCCTTTTTCATAAACTCAATGTAATTTTGTAGAAAAACAGCACAATCTAATCAGTCCTGTCTTCAGAAACTATTTGTTCCATCTGAATTTATTCTCTCTTAAGAAGAGGAGATTAAGGGGGGATATGATCAACATGTATAAATACATCAGTGGTTCATATAGTGAACTCGGTGTAGAGTTATTCACCCTGAGGTCATCACAGAGGACAAGGGGGCACTCTTTACATCTGGAGGAAAAGAGATTCAATCTCCAAACACGGAAAGGTTTCTTCACAGTAAGAGCTGTGAAAATGTGGATAGACTCCCTCAAGAATTGGTTCTGGCCAGCTTAGTGGATTGCGTTAAAGGCCTGGATTCTTTCTTAGATACTCGGAATATAACTGGATACTAACATTTATAGTTAAAGTTGATCCAGGGAATATCCGATTGCTTCTCGGGGAATCAGGAAGGAATGCTTTGCTGGGTTTTTTTTTCCTTCCTCTGGATCAATGGTGGGTATAGGATTATAACTTTTTTTTTTTTTTTTTTTTTTTTTTTTTCTTTTGGTTGAACTGGATGGATTTTTTGTCTTTTTTCTAACTGTGTAACTATGTACAATGTATTATCCCCACCTAAAAATAAATCATATTTTTATATGCATTGTGCAGACTATTGTTTTACCCAGTCATATTGGAATCCTGGCAGCTACTAATAGTGATTGTTAGCCTAAAGCTACATGTAAACACAAGAGGAATATCATCCGATCAAGCTTTTTTTCTTGATCTCTCAATAACTGTAGATCAGAGCCAGGGGCGGACTGACAACTCATGGAGCCCCCAGGCAATAGGGGATCATGGAGCCCCTGCGTCCTTGCCCAAACTAAAAAAAGCCTATGAAAAAGGTACCAGGGGCATATCATGGGGCCCCCTACTGACCCCGGGCCCTCGGGCAGTGCCCCCGAGTTTCCAAATGGTCAGTCTGCCCCTGATCAGAGCATACAGGAGCAGTAGAATCTCAGAGAGGATTCACCAATGGGCTGTGTTGAATTTTCCCAGCTGATCACTAATGTTCAGGAAAGGCTGTCATTGGGGGGATATAAAACCTTGAGGCCCCATTTACACTAAAGCAATCCACTGTGATATATTATAGCACACATTAACTGATGCTGTATTAGGCTCTGTTCACACTGGCATAGTTAATCGCCATGTTTGCCCACATGGGATGCACTGGTGTTGTATGCATCTTTGTGCAGGCATTGTTGTGATGATGGACACAACCGCTGCTCCCAATTTTACATCCATGTAGGTACGTGTACCCAAACTCACCATTTCTACGTGTGGGGACGCACCAACACAGATGTCATATTGGGAGTAGCAGCTGTATCCATGCAGCCAAGAAATGGCAAACCCAGATACTTCTGCGCTTAGGGATGGACTCTGTATAGTTGGGACCATATCACGAAATTCTTGGGATATGCATGCCTTGCTGCCCTCCAAAAACCAGGAAAGTCCAAATATACTGAATAGAGAAAAAAAGAGGACAGACTGGCCTAGTACATTACCTTAAGAAATGTGTTTATTAAATG